CTCCAATTGCCAGCATGGAGACCAGAACCAGACAGATTAGAGTCAATAACTTTTTCAATTCGAGACGAAGCTAATCGAAAACGTCCATTAATGAGCGCTCAATTACAACGTGGAGGATTAATTTTAAAAAATGCTGTTGGGAAAACTATAATGTTAATTCGTTTGCCTGTTCATTCTGCTGACTCTTTGGGGAAATTATTACATCCATCACAAGCTACTCTTTACAAAGTGAATTGTTTTTAATAGAGAAAAAAGAAATAATTATTATTTAAAAATTAAAGTTAATGCGTTGTCCTTCTGGTCCCGATCTTAAATTAGTTAGAGCAAGTTCTGATGAGGCTATAGTTTTACGAGTGGAGAAGGTAGTAAAAAATTTTATTTAAAATTAGAGAATGTTGAGAAGGGTAAAATTAATTGGAAAGGGAAAATTAAAGAATATTTTAAGCAAAACTTTTTCAGAAATTTAAAAAGCTATTTGCTCATTTTAAAACAAACAAAATCAAAATCAGGCTAATTTTTGAAAAGGATATGTATGTCCATTAAATGTTCCTGGCCAAATTCTTTAGTTTTTAGGCAATAATCTTACTTGTAAATAATTTATTTTTTATTTTATCTTAATTAAAAGGTGCATGTTTCTCTCCAATCTTTTGGCAAAGCAATTGGTGTAATGGGCACAGATTGTGTTTATTGGTTAAAATCACCAGATGGTCAAACAGTTTTGGGGCATGTTAGACCTAAATTTGCAATGAAAAGGAATACTTTAATTGTTAAATTTATGTTGGTTTTTACTTCCTTTTCTCAATTAATTTAAAATTAAAAGGTCAAAACAAAAAGATATCCAACTTAGAGCTGCAATGTTGGGAACTGCACTTTTATTATTAATTAATGAAGTTTATCCTCAATTAAAAATAATACTTGCTGACACTCAACAACAACAAAATATTGATTAAAATTAAAAAAAGAAATTTAAATAAACAACGATTAAATAAAAATTTTATTTTAAATTTACCGAGTGACTTAAATATATTTTAATTATTATTTTTTTCTGATATTATATTTTTTTAAATAAATATGTAATTTTTAAGGCTTAAATTAAAATTTTAAAGTTTTGGTGTTTTTGAGAATTTGTTTAAAAATTATTTTTGTATTTTTTTTTAAGTTTAAAAATCTATCCCCAAAATTTTTTAAAAAATTATTCTTTAACTAAATTTATATGTAGCTGTGAGAGGTGATGAGATATAGCATCATCTGAAATTTCTAGCTGTCCAAAATTCTTGGTTTTGAAACATTTCCTGGATTTTTTTGTTCATAAAGAAATCTTGATCTCGCCCTTTTTTGACATTTTTAGATTTAAGTGAGGTATTATTTACCTTAAGTGAGGTAATCATAAATATTGACTGAAACTCTTTAAACCAGTTTAATAATCATTTATGTCAGTTAACCCTTTTCTTATCTCGGTTTGAATTAATCAGAAATTTAGATTTCAGCATTGAAAAGTGATTAAAAAAATTCTTTTGAGAAATCCTCTTTAAACTCTTATTTAAGTCTACTAGATTTTTTGTAGATTTTTACTGACATGGCAAATAATGCCTACTAGATAATTTTCCCTTTATTTTTCCAAATTATTAAAAATAATTTGGAATATTTCTGTTATAATTAATTAACAAAAGAAAAAAAACAAATTTATTTATTAGCAAAAAACTATACGTTAATTAAAAAATAATGAAAAGAAAAAAATAACACGAATGCAATTTCTGGTAAAATAATAAAAATAGAGAGGATTGTAAATTGTTGTATTTATTTTTTAATCTAAATATATTAAGTTTAATTAAAAATGAGAAAATTTAATTTTTAATAAGAGAGGGGAGAGAAGAGAGTGCAAATTTTTTTTAAATAAAATGACTGGGATGCATAAACCGAGGCGGAAGATTTTTAAGAAAATAATGAGGAAATAGAGGAGAGAGAGGGGAGAGAGAGAGTGTTGCAAAAAGTAATATTTTTTAAAAATTATTATTTTATGGGTAATTTTATATTTTTAAAAATATTTTTTTTCAAACTTTCTTTCTTCAAAAATTTTTTTATTTAAAATAATTAATAAAATAATAATGATTGAGTACATAATTCTTGTAAGAATTATTTATTAAAAAAATAATGACCTATTTATAAGCTTTTTAATTTAAAAAATAACACAACAAATATATAATTAATTATTTTTATTTTTAAAAAAGCTGCTAAAAATTAAATATTGAGGTGCAAAAATCCACCACAGATTTTACTAAATTAAAAAATGCACGAAATTTTTTTTGAAAAATTATTAAAAATAAAGAAGTGAAAAGAGAAAAAAATTAATTTTAAAAGGAGAGAGAGTGAAGAAGGGAATGATTTTTTTGAAAATTATTTTTTTTATTTTTCTAAAAAATATTTAATATTTTAAAGCGTTTTTGTGAGAAAAAGGGAAACAAAATTTAAGAAAAAAAAAGAGAAACAGAAATATTTATTTTAAGTAGTTTTTAACTGTGGCGCCGTTTAAAAATGGGCGAAGCCGGCACCGAAATTTTTAGAGAATTTTTAGTGGTAAACAATTAAATTAAAAATTAAAGTAAAAGAGAGAGATACCGATCAAAATCTAAATTTGAGGAAATCGTGACTTGTGCGCGAAGCGTTTTTAAATTGTTTGTTGGAACTCTACAAAATATATACATACTTTTATTAAAAGTAAAATAATAAATAATACATTTTTTTTAATTTTCACTCAATACAAAGAATTTTGGTTATGGCAAAAAATTATTAAGTATCGGTAGGACTAAAAAATGCCAAAAAATTATTCTAGAATTCTCAAAATTTTTTTGATAATATTTATATGTATGTACTCTCTTTTAGGGTCTAAAATAATTCTTAATCTTTATAAATAAAGAGTGTTAACAGCTAATGTAGAGGTCCAACTATTTTAATAATTAATAAAAAAATAATAAAAAAACTCAAAGGAAAGATAAATACGGATAAAAATAATTTCTTTTTTTTTTCATTAAAATATTTATTTTTTTCTGTCCCTCAATTTTATATTCAATTTTCCATATTTATCCTTCAATTATTTGTTTGTGCTCGGATTTGCAATTATTTTTCATTAGGTATTGTTTAATTATTTTTCTTTTGTTAGGTTGGTTTTTGGTTAATATACCGAACAAAAAATTGTTGCAAATTTCGGGAAAGAAAATGTGTGAAAAGAAAAGAAAGGAGGATTTTTTTGTAATTTTTTGTATTTGTTCTAAAAAAAGTGGACATACAATTTAAAGGAATATTTATTTATTTAGTGACCATCAGCCGCCAAACAATAAAAAACTAAACAAAAAAAAACTAGGCGAGCAAACGTTGCTGTCCTCTTTTTTTCTGAAAAAATATTTTTTATTTAAAACTAACATTTATTTATATTTTAAATTAAAAAACAGCCATTATTTAAATGGCCTTCAAAAATTATTAGTTTTGGTTAAAATTAAGTATTTTTTGAAATAAAAAAAAGGACAGAAAACGTTCACCAGCAACGCGCCGTCGTAAAAATTGAGCAATTCGTCGACTCTTCACGATAACCGCCAATTTGATGATCGGAGAAGGAAAAATAATATTAAAAAAAAAGGGGAGAAAAATAATAATTTTATTTGTTTAGTGAGTGGCACTTTTAGTTAATTTTGGGCCGAAAAAAACTAAAAACAAATAAAAATGTAGAAATAGAAAAATAATAAAAGGAAAAGGAGGATTTGTAAAATAAATTGTTAGGAGGAAAAATAAAGAAAAAAAGTTTTTGGAAATTTAAACTTTTTCAGAAACTTTCCAATTTTTACAAAATTGGTGCAAAAATTAATTTAAAATGAAAATTAAAAGTTGAGGATTTTTAGTTGTTTTTAAAATTAAGAAGGAAAAAAACTAAAATAACTTTTTTTAATTAAGCAAGAAAACAGGCAAATTAATGAGGATTTTTTAAAGAAAAAAATTCTAAAAAAATTTTTTCGAGGAATTAAAATATGAATTAATTTTTAAAATGAATAGAAAAAAATAAAAAATATTAATATTCAGATGAGTGTATTTTTAATTTTATTTATTTTAATTTTAAGGTAGAAAAAGAGTCATTGAAAAAAATATAATAGTAATTTAAGAAAAAATTGATTAGAATAATTATATATAATTAATTAAATTCTAATAATTTAATTAATATATAGAAATAGGCAGGCTAATTAAGTGTACGTTGCTCAACGTTTTTTGTGGTATTTAAAAAAAGAAATTTATTTGTTAGAGAATTTTAAAATTCGAACAAAAATCTTGTTTTTATTTTCCAACTTTGAAACAAAAATCTCTGGTCAATAAATAACCTCTTCTAAAACAATTATAATTTCTCTAACAAATAATTAAATAAAATTAAAAATAATTATATTTTTCCCTAAAATAAATCAACAAAGCAATATTTTAAAAAAAGCTAATTTTCTATTTAAATATTTTTATGTGCAAAGTAAAATTAAAAGTAAGAGGATTTTTGGTTGTTTTTACTAAAAAAAGAAAAGTTAAAAAAATTTTTTCTGTTCGTTTATTTAGTGGTGGTTAATGCACGAACAATTAAAAAAAAATAACAAAAAAAATATTTAAATAAAAAGAGAAAAAAGAGATTTTTAGTTTTAATTAAAGAGAGGTTTTTTTGTTTGGTTTTTGTTTTTATTGAGAGAGAAAAAGCAAAAGAATTTTTAAGAAAATTTTTTTAAAATATATTCCCTCTCACTTTTAGTATTAAATTAAAAAATAATTATTCTTTTGCTTTTTCTACATAAATAAAAAATAAATTAAAATGACTCGATGTTGTTGTTGTTTTTAACAAAAAAATATTATTTTTAAAAAATATCCTTAAATATATATATTTTAACTATTTAATTCCCCTCCTCCCTCCTTCAAAATAAAATTAATTTTTAAGAAAATTTTTTTTATTTTCAAACACCTTCACTCTATTTTTAATCCCTCAGTCAATCAGTTCCATTTTTCTCTCGTATTTTTTCATTTAAAGTCAAATTTTCCAAATCATTACAATTATTACTAACATTGTTTAACATTCTCTTTAAATAAAAATAAATTTAGAAGAAAGTCTTCTCAATCACAAAAAACCTTTCTCATTTTATCAAAATTAAGTGACGGACGTGGTGGAGACATTCCACTCTTAGAGCAGTGTCTTCCACGTTTATTAGCCAACATATAAGGTGGTGATTGTCCCAACATTGGAGCTACTTGTCCTCGTCTACCTTGAATTGTTTGTGGCATTTGTTGAAATGGAGGAGCTAATCCTCCCTTTTGTTGTTGTTGGTGCTGAGAAGCTGAATATAAAATACGAACACGTGTACGTCTAGCTGCTGTGAGAACTTGACGATCATTTGAAGAGTCGATATTATTTGGACCTTTAAATTGAGGGGATTTTATTTCAAAAAATTTTAAATTAAAATCAATACCACTTCCCAACATTGCTGTAGCCATTAACATACTAGCAGCTCGTGTTCTAGCAGCAATTGGCGTCTCTGAACGTTCAGGTTGTTGTTGAGGATGAATTAAAATCTCTTGAGGAGTAACGCAGGTAGTTGTTGTTGTTGTAATAATTTCTGTTGTTAATGCCGGATCACCCCAACGACGTTTCTCCCCTAAACCAACGCCTAAAGGAGAAACAGTGCGGGCTGCAGCGATTGAGGTAGAAATTGAAGTTTGTGAATTGGAATTACGCCGATTTCGTCGCAAAACACGACGGAATGCTCCTTGGTGTGCACCGGGTTCCTTCAAAAAATATTTAAAAATATTTTTGAATTTTTCAAAAAACATTTTGAGTATTCTCTTCAGCCTTTGCTCTATTCTCAGCAACAGCCATTTCCATTAAAGCGGCACCCTGTCCAGTTGTTTTATGAGAACCAATTGGTGTCGGTGTGTCATCCAAGACATTAGCAGAACCAAAAAGCTCAGATTGACGTAATGAAGAAAAGTCAATTGGCAAAGGAAGTGTGCCGCTACTTGAAGTTTTTGTGATAGAAGAGGAATGAAAATGTGCCGGAAATGCGTCTTTGCTAAAGAAAAAAATAATTTTCTTTTTCTTTTTTTAAAGTCCCTCAAAAATAATTTTTAAAACAAAAATTTGTACTTTTTAAAAATAATAAAATAATATATTATTCGTCTTTTTAATCTCGTAAAAATACTCTTTTTCTTCTTCCCCCTCAATTCCCCATTAAATATTCAGAGCCCAATGTCATCTATGTAGCCATTGTAATTTTCGAAAATAACAATGTTGCAGTCGGCATTTTCATAAAAATTTTTTTTCCTTTTTTCATAATTTTTTTGTCTCTTTCCAATCTCTTTGGCACACACATTTCCCCCTAGGAGATAGCCCTTTTCCAATGCCCCCCATTAATAATCCTAGACACACTACTGCCTCTATTCCAGACAAAATGAAAAAGAAGGAAAAATGGTATTTTGTCGGTAATGCTCTCTTGGGTTGGGGGGTTTTTCTGCTTTTAGTTTTGGACTCGACCGAGTGTGAATTAATATTTATGTGTAAAAATGTATTAGAATAAGAGTTATAATTCAGAGAAGGAAATGGAAAAAAAAGAATAAAATGACCTCTTTTTTTGTTTGGTACCGAGAAAGAATTAATAGATATGTTGCCAATATTTTATTATTTAAAATAATAAAAGTATTGGAGGAAAGAGGGGAAGGGATAAGAAAAAATTTTTTTCCAAAAATTTTTAATCCCATAGAGATTTTCTATACAAAAATTTAAAAAAAAGTTGCCAAAATATTAAATATCTCTTTCCCAAAAGTGTTAAAAGGTTAAAAATAAATTTTTAAGAAAGAAAAAAATTTCCAAACGAAAATATTGTTATCTATTTTATTTATTTATTTATTTCCATTTTTCCAAACAAAAATAATTTTAAAAGTAAAAAAGCAAAATATTAAGCAAAAGCCAAGAGAGAATAATAATAATAGCTCTATTGGGAATTGCACATTTTATTGCCCCGATCCTTAAAAATATTGGAAAATGTGGAAACAAACAAGAATTAAATAAAAAGGAGAGGGGGAGGGGAGAATTATTAATGAGAAAATTGATAAAAATAAAAAAATATTTTTGGCTTAAAAAAGTTAAATATTTTGGGGTTTAATTAAATAATAAATTACCAGGCCTTTAATAAATTTTGAAAATTTTGAGAAAAATTTTTTACCTCTGTACAGGAGTAGTTCCGGCTGTCTCATCGCTAAATGTCGTCCCCATTTGTTTTTTCCCATCAATATCAAGCACCAATTCCCCACCACCTAAAGCAGCCTCCAACAAATCAACATTACGGGAAGCATCGTCTCTCTCAGCCGAATCACGCAAAACAATTCCCGATTCACATCCACAACTATCCCAACTAAAAAATAAAAAAAATATTTTTTTTCAAAATTTATTTCCCTCAAAAAAATTTTTTTCAATTTCCTTTCAATTTCTACAGTAATTTAAAAAATAAGGAACTTAATATATAAATATTAAAGTACAAATAAATATTTATTTTAATAACCGGTTAATTGACAAAATATTATTTAACACAATAAATATATTTATTTTGTTTATTTAATAATTTCTTGTCAAACAAACAATTTTAAAAGTAATTTTCTGACGGCAATTTTCCAATAATAAATAAAAATATAATAATTATATTGACACTCCAAACATAATATCTATTGTTATTTTATTATTAAAAATAAATAAATATATGTACATTTTGCCAAAGTTTTTTAAAAATAAAAAAAATTATTTTAATTGTTCAGGTTTTGAGGAAAAAATTTTTTTCTTTAAATAAAAAAATAATTATTGTAGTAAATTTAGATGTACATAAAAAGATTCTTGATTGATAAAGAAAAAAAGAAGGTCCCTAAAAATAAATTCAAAAATAATTTTTTATCCAAAAATACAGTAATTTATTTTAAAGAATTTTAAATTAAGTAAAAATTGAAAACAAAAGGAAACAAAAAATTAAAAAAAATATTAAATTATTTAAAAATTTATAAAAGAAAAACTTTTAAAGGAAAACTACAAACATTTAAAAGAAATATAAATTTGAAATTTTAAATAATTTATATATAGTTATTTTAAACAAAAAACTAAAAAATATTTTTTTAATTTTAAATTAACTTAAAAATAAATTTATAAAGGTTTTGAGAATTTTTTATTCCACTTTAAATAATTTAGATATTTTGAAAAAATTAGAAAAAAATATATTTATTCTATATTTTATTTAAATAATTTAACTTTTTTATATTTTTTTTGACAATTTATATTCTTTTTTTTACCCCCTCCCTCCTTTCTTATTTTATTTTTTACAGAAAATAAATTTATTTTGGACTTGCTATTTTATGTTTATTTAAAACGTCCACCCCTCCTTATATTTCCAGTTTTGATTTTACTTTAGAGCCGAAAGGAAATGAGAAAAAAACTTCCAAAAACGTAAAAACAGAAAATAAACAAAATTAGAAAATACTAATTTTTTGGGTTTTAAAATAAAAAATATTTTCTTTGTTAAAAAAATAATAAACCAAATTATTCTCAAAAAATTTTAAAAAATACTTCAAGTTAGAAAAGGTTAAAATATAATAATTTTGGTTAAAAATATGCCAAATTAATTTTATTATTTAATTCGAAGAATAAATTAAAATTATTTATTTGATACACTTTCAGGAAAATCCCGTTAATATAATTCCCCCTAATAAATAACACGTCACTTTCATTGGCCCTCCTCAGAGTGATTTGGGATTACATTTTATTTTTTACTTAAAACTTGAACAGAAAATCTGGAAAAAGTATTCAAAGTTTTGAATATTTAAAATCCAAAAATCTTCAAATTTTCTTTCCCAAAAATTAATATTTTTTATATTTTTTTAAAAAATTTTATTTAAAATCCAAACAAAATAATCGCCATCAATTTAATTTTTTCCTCTTTCCCTTTTATTTTTCCCCTTTTTTATTATTTATTTATGAAGAGAATTGTGAAAAAAAAGACTTTTAATAAGTAAAAAGGAAAGAGCGGCGTAACCTTCTCTTGTTCTATAACCTAAAATAAATAAAGGGAAATGACAGACACAAAACCACCCACTTCCCTTTCTGTGCTCTCTGCCAGCAAATAGCCAATAGGAGAAAAGGAAAATGTTAGAGAGAGTGAAAAGGAAGAAATAAATAAATTTTTAAATATTTTTTTTTCTAAATTTTTGCTATTAAAAAATATTTAAAAATTAAAATATTTTAATTAATAAATCGGCATCTAAATTAAATTATTCTTCAAAATATTTAGTTGTATTATAATCTCCAAAATTTAAAAGAAAAGTCAGTAATCCCCCTATCAGTAATTTCAGAACATCAAAAAAATTTTAATCAAAAATTTTTGATTAAAAAAGTTTTTAATATTTTTATTTTTATAAAAATAATTTAGTAAATTGTATTTTAGCAATAAAAAGAAAAAAAAAGAAAAAAAATTTCCCCTCCAATTGCTGCCAATTGTTCAAAATCAGTCGTAAAAAATAAAATGATTGTAAACAACAAAATAAAAACCAGTTTTTTTCACTTTTTCCCTCTCCCACAGTTCCAAACATCGAAAGAAAAATATAAAAAGAAAGAGGGGGTGATACAAAGTAGGGACAAATGATCTAAAAAAGCAATATGTAACTGCCAATACTTGGACAACTGCCAGCTGCCGACAAAGGAAAAATAAAAAGAAACAAATGAAAAAAGAGAAAAAAATGTAGAAAATTTAAATAAAAAATTTATATCAGAAATTACTGAAAAAAGAAGCCAAAAGTTAAAGGATATAAAATAGATGAGGGAAATTTTTGAGAATATTATAATTTAATGGAAAAACATTTTTTAAAATTTTATCTTTTTTCCAATTTAAATATATTTATTTCTTTCCCCGTTTATTTTTAATCTTTTTATTTATTTCCAATATTTATTTCTTAACACTTTTTTTTCCTTTTCCAATAAGATTAAATATATATTTATTTATTTAAAATAAATCTTTTTTTTCTACCAACTTTCTTCCCCCCTAAAATTTCTTGGCCAAAAAAAACAAAAAAAAAATTGAAGAGTTTTGTTTGTAAGATTTACTTTTTCTTTTAAGTACTCTTTAACGAAAGTTAAGAGCTAAAAGAGAATTGTTTGGCTGTTAAAATAAAAATAAAAAGGTAATAAAAAAGAAAAATTGAGAATATTAGCCAATCTCGAGACAAACAACGCCGATCATAAAATATCAAAGAAAAAGTCGAATTGAGGTAGAAATCAAATAAAAGTTCGAAAAATAACAAAATAATTGAAAGAAAAAATAAAAACAATTTTAGAGCACAGCGGGGAGTACTTGGAAATATTTTTGTAGAAAAAAACGAGAGGAGAGAAATGATGTTTTGGCCATGTGCCAAGAAGAAAAAAATGAAAATAAAAAAGAATTGGTAAATAAGAATATAAAAATAAGAGAAAAAATAAATAAATATTTTTATTTTTCAATATAAACAGAATATTTATAAAAAGTTATTAATGGATTAACAAAAAAAATTTTGTTGGAATTTAAAAAAATAGAGAGAGGAGAGAGAAATTGCATGTACATGAATGATAAAAAATAATAATGATTGGTCATTTAAACATCACAAGATTAGAGCCCACTCCTGCGGGTGTCAGAAAATAGAATGAATGACTAAATAATTAAACAACTTTTAAATAAAAAATTGTTTTTTGTTTCCAAAAAAATTTTTATTTAATCACAACATCCCCCCTCACTCCCCCCTCTTCTGTGCCAATAATAATTGGAGAAAAGAACATGTGAAGAGTCCAGAAAACGGAAGGCAAGCTTAGAGAGAAACAAAATAGATTTGAAGATGGCTTAGCATTTTGACAAACAAAGCTAATGATTTGTGGGAAATTGTAAAAAGTGGAAATGATGGTGGGGGTGCGCAAAAAGTCTTTATTTGTGCATATACTAAACAAGGATTTAAAAATGGCAGAAAATGAATAAATTATATAAAAATGTAAATTTAGAGATATTTAAAAAGAGATATAAAATAATAATTAAAAATATAACCCCCTCCCTCTTTCTTCTATTTTTAATAATTATTTTTACATTTCAAGACTTGTTTTTGCTTGAAATAATAAAAACACCTGCTCATAACCTTTCAATAAAAATTCCTTTTAATTGGTAGTTGTTATCAATCTTTTCAATCTCCTGACACAAGATTTATTAAATTTGTGTAATTTCCCTATTACATTCGTTGTTTTTAATTTTTGATTCGATGGAATTTTTTATATTTTTTTGGCAGCTTCCCAAATTACCTTGTTTAGTAGAGAGATAGTAATCAACTATCGCAATAAATTTATTTTTCACATTTCTTATCGTCTTTATGGCCAAACCCGTATTTTTATATACCCAAAAACTAAAAATAATATAAACCGCGATAGGTACGAACAAACACTTAAAGATATTTTAGAAGAGAAAATGACAAAATGATTCTTGACAAAATGTGGCGTAAAAGAAGATTTTTGAAGTAATTTAAAATTCCAAATAATTTTTTAAAAACTTATTTGAATAAAAATTCAAATAATTTTTTGCTTAAAATCAATTCTCAGCCCAATAAACAATTTCTTCATCGTCTTAACAAATTCTCTTCAATTTCCTCTCTCATTTCAGTCAATATCCACCAAAGATTTTTACGATATTCGAGAGAAAACAAAAAAGACCGACAAATCCTTTTCAACTTTTTATTAGCCCTTCCTTAAGGCCTTTTTATTCTTCTTAATAATCTTCGTCACGGCTAAAATGAAGGAGAAGAAGAACGTGTGCGCGGCGCACGAATCCCCCTTCTCCCCCATTCTTCTCTACACCCTTCATTTCCCAAAAACTACAACCAAACAGCCTTTCTTCTCAATTTTCTTCTTTCTCTTCAAACAATCCCAGCGGGAGAAAATAAATAACTTGCGAGCGGTGTTTGTATTTAGTTTTTGTTGATGGTCGAAGAAAAATTAAAATCCAATTCTCCCAATTTCCCTCATTATTCTATTCTTCCCTAATTTTTTTTCTTCCTTTTTATAAAAAAGAGAATTGTAAATTTGAAGAAGGACCACCATCAACGTTTTCGTCATCCTTAAATCTTCTTCCTCTTTTTCTCTCTATACAACCTTCTCTCTCCCCATTCCACAATTCTTTAACAAAAACAGGGTTTTTCTTCTCTTCATCCATCACCATTTTTAATGCTTTTATTAGCATTTCTAGTATTTGCCTAGCAATTTAAATTGGTTTGGAATAGAGGTTGGCCAGGTGGTAAATATACACATAGACAAGCTTCCGTTGATGTTGCCCAATGAGGCATAACCAAAGAAACCAAATGTGAAAAAAGTTTTAACATGTATTTACAATATCAACCAATTCAAAAGTTTTTAGTGCTTTAAAAATAGAGGAAAGAAAAAATGAAAGAAAACGTTAAAATTTTTTTTGGAAAATAAACATTATAAAAACACCCCAGAATCGTCAAAACTTGATAGTAAATTTTGATAATTTTCAATCATTTTTCTTTTTTATTCTTTTATTTCTTAAAAGTGCGGAATAACAAAATAATAAATTAATTGTAAAGAAAACCTCAAAACTTTCTCTAAAAGGTGAATTTTAGTGCAAATATTTATATATATTATGTACACACACATAAACAGCCGGGCTTCGTCAAAGCAAACCGCAAAAACGTTGGCATGACAGAACACACACACACAAATAAGAGGGGACACGAAAAGAGTTTTTACCTCCTTGTTTGGCTTTTCAGCAAACAGAAACAGCACACAAACAATCTCTTTCACAAAAACAACACTTCCAGTTGAGGGATTGGCCCACCCTTCTAAGATGTCAGAAAATGGTGAAAAAAGAAAAATAAACATTGCCCAAAAATATGGCAAATAGTGAGAATAAATAAATATACACACAAAAATATATTTAGAGAGAAAATATATAAAAGTACACAAGTAATTTTTAAAAAATATATTAAATATAAAAATATTTTTTTCCAACCCTTTATGTATATATATTTTAAAAACAATTTTTGAGTAATACAAACAAAATTAATAGTACTTAAGTAAAAAATGTTAAAGTGGGAAAGCTTGTCGGTAAATTTATTTCTACAAAAAGACAAAAAAGAATTTGGGGGGAGCTTTTTTTTTCTTCTTCTCAAATTCCAGTTAAAGGGTCTAACAATAAATAAATAAATTCTTTTTTGGCTTTTTCTAAACGTTTTTACTATTTTTGTATTTATTTATTTTACTAAAAACAGGATGCACTTTAACCAAAAAAAATATTTAATTGTGGGAAAAAAATAAGGAAATAAAAAAAAGATAAGAAAAAATAAAGAGAGATGTGAAATATAACACCTAAAAAATAGGCAATTATTTTGTAATAAAATTGAAAGGAAATTGTTAAAAAAAGATTTTTAAATAAATTAAAAAATAGCCCCCACCTGCTTGTTTCAATTTCGCTGATCAATGGAGGTGAGCTTGTCAAAGTTGGAGGACTTCGACCAATACCTTCCTCTAAAGCTGCACGAGAAGCATTCGAAACTTAAAATATTAAAAAATAATTTTTAAAAATTAAATATTCTCCCCCCCCCCTCCCAATTAATTTTTTAGAAAATTATAAGTAAAATAAAGAGATTTAATAGAATGATTAAAAAAAAATAATTTTTCTCAAGATTTTAAAATTTTAAAAATTGTTTTATTAAAGCTTTTTTGGAGATAATTGTAAATATTCTTTTATTCAAACATTTATTTATTTTTTGGTCCCTCGCACTTATAAATAAATAATTAATTAATATATACTTCCAAAAATCGGCTCATTTTGACTGATTATTAATCTTTTATAAAAATAACTATTTTCTTTATTCACATATGACTCTTGTGCAGCGCAGTGTGTGGTCTAACTCTCGTGATTTTTTTAAAAAGAAAATAACCAAAAAAAACTTCCAAACTAATCTTTCAAATAAATTTTTGTTTGTTTTTTAGTTTTTTTTTTAAATTTCCATTTTAAGATTTTTTGTAAATATTTAATCAAGTTTTTAGTATTTTTAATCAAGAAAAAATATCAGGACAAAGATTTTTCTCAAAAAAATTTAAATAATAAAGAGACAAATATCAACAACAACAAAAAATATTTATTAAAATGCCCTTCTCTGCCCTTTTATCCTTTTTACACTTTCCTTTGTCTACATTTTTATTTAAATAAAAATGTAATTTTTAAATGTCTTTTTGCGCAGTAGCAATATAGTACTGATACGTTTTTTCTGCACCTATTTGAAAGGTCCAATAAATACCCAAGGGAGGAATAAAGAGAAGAAGAAAAGTCCAAAACCATATAAAGGACAAAAAGAAAATATATACAACCACCAAATATGTCAAATTAATATTCGTCACGGAAGAAAAACGAGGCCGACAATGCGGCGCTGCAGGGGCATTGTGAAGAATTGTTAGAAACTCAAAAACCTTTTTTTTATATTTTCGGTAGAAAAAAGGAGGATATATTTATTATTCCTTTCTTTATTTGGCATATCTTTTCTTTTTTATTTAATTTAATGCGCAAAAATTAGGCAGGGTGGCCGTTTTGTATTTTTGTTATTTAAAAAAAGAGAAAATAAAAATTAGTAAAAAGAAGATTAAGAAATTTAGAGAATTTTTAACTGTGAATTAATAAATAGTCTTAAAAGGAAAGAAAAGAAAAAACCTGACAAACAGGAACTAAAAGGACATTAACTGAATGAACAAAGAAAAAATTCTTTTTTTTTTGTTCACACTTTCAATAAAAAGTGTAGAAAAATATTGGAAATTTTTGAATAATTTAATTTTGATCCTTTTGTATTTTATTCACGGAAAAGGGAAATGTTATAAAAATATTTTAGAATCAAAAATCTTTCCGTTGCTCTTTTTTGTTTTATCAATTTGTCTAAATATTTTTAATTAAATTCTTCATTTTCCATTTAAATTTTTCTATTTTCTTAAAAGTACACACAAATGTTTTAGTCATAAACAAATAAAAGATTCTCAAAAGGTTTTATATATTCTTCCGTTTATATCAAACATCATTTTCACTTTAAAAGAAGAATACGATGCTTTTACGCCATTGAGGACTAGATAATGCTGTCAGTGACAGATTTTGGCATTTGGCACGCCAAGGCACATAAACATTGTCCAGACTGGCAAAGTAAAAAAGAAAAAGATTGAAAGAAGAAATGAATGAAGAAGGGAAGGAAAAAGCTGACAATATTGTTGAGAGATTGAATAGAGGAAAAGTAGGGAAGGGTTAGAAAATCAACCAATGTTTTCATAGAAGATGTGGAAAGATAAGGGTTTTAATTTAAAAACGATTAGCCTTAAACTTTTAATAATATTATTTTTAAAAGAAAATATGTTTGTATTTTTGTCATTTATTTATTTATTTATTTCATTTTTACTATTTTTTTTTCAATTTTAAATTCTCAACCCTTTATTTTTCTTTACTATTTCCCATGGGTAAGCCAGCCAATGCACAACGCAACAACGAGAAGAATAGGGCACGAAATAAATATAATAGAAGGCTTATCGCCGTCGAGATCTAAAATATATTTATTTTCTTTTGTACGCATTGAGCGAAAAATTGAAGCTGTTGCTTCTGCCAAGAAATGGAAAAGTAAAGGGAGAAAAGATGCGCTGTTTGACGATTGGACACAGTACGAAATGAGGAAACCATCTGGAACTGTTCAAGCGGAAATGGGCAACGATAGAATTAAAAAATAATTAAAAAGAGGCAACAAGTCTCTGGATTAGACTGATAAATGAAAAATAAAAAAATATAAAAAAGAATACTCTCCAATCCTTTAAATGTCTGAAAAAAATGCACTTAATAAGCGAAAAAATCTTAAAAACTAAAACTAACAGTTAAGATATCCCCACTTTTAAAATTTATCCATCCTTATTGAAACATATCTCTTAAGAAATTGAAAAAAGAGAATAGACATACAGGATTACACACAGGTCGGATGTTATTTAACAGTTAGTAAAATGAGTGGACGAAACCCGTTGCGCCATTTACACAAACATATACTATGTATAATAGTGCTAAAATACTGCTACAAAATATTAATTAAATAACAAATATATAGAAATTTTATTTCCTTATTCTTCTCTCCCTTTTTTCAATTTTCTTCTTTTCTTATCGCTAAAAATTTTGACCCATCTACCCCCACCCTGTTTTTTTCGGCAATTATATTTCAATGTGTTGATTCCCAATTTCACCTTTTTCTCCTTCAAATATTTTTATTTTCTTCTCTCCTGATTTAAAAAACTTTTTTTATTTAATTTCTACACACATTCAAGAGTCCCCCCCTTTTTTTCTAAAATTTTACGGTATCAGTTCTTTCCAGACAAAAAAACTTCCTCCTCTCCGATAATCTCTACTAGCAATCTTTTCAATCATTCTATCAAATTCGTTCTCGTTCTATTCAATTTTTGGCAAAAATCCAAAAAGCAAATAAAAATAAAATAATAAAAAAAAAGTACTTAAAAATATTAAAAAAAAACTTTTTTTCCCTAAAAATAATAAAAAATAAATCAAAACTCAATTTAAGAGAATATACATGTTTAATTAAACTACAACTAAAAACTTCCTTAATTACTAAACAAATTTAGAAGAGAAACCCTTTTTTAGCTCTTATTAACTAATTGCGTGCTTAAATGTACTTTGAATATATAATTATTTGCTGTAATTAATATTTTGGCCAAAGAGCATACAAAAAAGAAAGTAAAGGGCAAAAAAACACCTGTCAATCTTTGTTGGATATTTTCTTACAAAAATATATCTCAATTATTTGTTAACGTTCATTTTCTTTAATTATTAAGAAATAATTGTTAAAATAAAAGATTTTACTAAATTTTTAGAGTAAAGAGTGACAAGATTAACAATAAATTTAAATTTAATTTTCAGTGTAAAAATCAATTAAAATAAATTAAAAGGAATTTTAAACTTAAATTTTAACGAAAGATAAATGGAGATTTAAAAAAATAAAAGAGTTTTCGGTTTTTTATACTAAAAAGATTTTTTCTGATATTAAATAAACTCTGATAGCTTTCCAATATAGTAATTTTAATAAAAAAAACTTTGGTTGAATGATTTTGTTTTCAAATTTTCTCCCATTTCTTCCCCAAATTTTATCTTTAAAATTAAAGAAAAATATTTTTTACATCCTCCTTCGGTTAATTAGCTTCTCCCTCTCTCCCGCTCTCTCTCTCTATTTTTCCCTTCAATTAAATTTTCAATTCCGTACCCAAAAATATATTCGCATTTTTCTTACTTAAAATCTTCTTTCTAATTCATTTTTTAGATTCAGTTATTGGCCGTCGATTTAATGATGATGATTGTTGATGATAAGAGAGAAGAGAGAGAAGCGAAGAGAAAAATAAAATGGCCAAAACCTTCTCTCCCTTTATTTTTATTGTTTTAGCCTAAGCATCGAGATCGCGACCGGTTAAAAGTATTAAGAAAGAAAAGATGGATCAGCGGCAGGTGTAAAAGTAAAAAGAAGTAGGGGAAATTTAGTATAAAATATATATATTTTATTAGAAATTCAATGCGATCCCTCCTTCCCCCTTAACCCTTCCCCTTCTTTTTTTCTTAAAAATCATCCAAAAATTGTTTTTAGTCAAAAGTCCCCAAATACTTTTAGAGAGTTTTGTTGTTGTGAGTGTGCACATTTTTGTGTAACCTATTTACCAATACATCGAAGATGAACAAGAGAGAAGAAATTGAAGAGCAAAATGTTTAGAGAAGAGAAAGAGATGAAAAACAAAAATTTTAAAGAAAAAATAATTTTTATTTTTAAAATTTAAAAGAGCCCCCCCCCCTTTTTTTGTTCAAAAAAAATTCTAAACTCACGAGAATCCAACATTTCCAATTCCTCATCATCTTCATCATCATCCGAAGATTCAGTACCACTATCACAATGTGCCAATGGACGGTGGGGAGGTCTAGTAGCTAATATATTTGTTGTTGGATTAGCCAAATGGCGTAGATTATTATCACTACTTGCACAACCAAATTGATAATTTCCACCAAAAGTAGGTCGAGAAGTAATCGAAATAAATTGTTGTTTTTGTTCTGAAACAGCGGCAGCTGCTTCCAATTGTGCACGTCTTGCTCTCTTTAAAGAAAAAAATGTTTTCAATTCAATTTTCTTTAATTCTACCGTAGTTGGAGGTGACTGAGACAAAGCTAAAGACACAGAAGAATTTGTTGTAAATTCAACACTTTCTTTGTCAGCCTTTTCATTTAAACGAGCACTTCGACGAGTTGTTGGGCATCCAGTTTCTGTATCTCTAAGTGGTGGAGGTGAAAGTTGAGCGGGAGGTGAAGCATCGCCACTAGCACCATCTTGTAAGGTTTGGCGTTTGAATTTGTTAACAAGTCTTCCAAGCATTTTCTTTTAACTGAAAGAATAGCAAAGAAATATTTTTATTAAAAACAACTTTTTTTCTACCTTTTTTCAAAAATTTTCCAAAATAGATGTTTAGTTGTAAATTGAGATTGTAATTAAAATCAGAATTTGTCAATCTTTTCTTTTTTCCTTACTTTTTATTGAGGATTTTTGTTATGTTGATGCTGTCTACCTCTTAATTCTAACACTGTTCTCTTTAAAGAGAAAGAGAAGTAGTTAAAGAAAAAGACTAGTAAATATATAATATGTAGTTTTAGTAAGCAGAAAAAAGCTATTTTCTGCTGCTATTTAGCGGCTGGCTGTTGTTTGGAATGAAATGAGAATGAACGTGAAAATGTTGGAGAATTGTCGTCGCTGTCGCTTACACACAAAACTAGTAGGCGTGGCTGGAACTAACACACACACACTAAAGCAAAAGACGACGAGAAGAGTGAGAGACTTGACTGTTGAAGAAGAAAAATAGGCGGAGTCGGCTGCACACAAATAAACAATAGTGCGCAGAAAATTGAAAAAAGTAGAAACGCACGCAGTTAGAGAAATAAAGATATAATGAAGTGAATAACAAAAAAAGATTGTGGTGTATGTCTAATATTTTATTTTTTTTGTCTGAAAAAAATTTTTATATTAAATTTGTGTGGGCATGACAGTTTTTAAAAAAATTATTGTAAAAGAAATACTTGGAGGGAATTATAAAGGGAATAATTTTAAAAAGGGGGAATAAAAAATGAAAAAAATTTGAGGGAACGGTGATGTAGTATGGGGGGATTTTGGGTATATTATAATGGTAAAATAAATATTTTTGACCAAAATCTATTTACTCCTTCATTCCCGTTATTTAAAAATAATGCAACATTTCAACTTCAATGAAAAGAAATACAGGATGAATGAGAGAGAATAGCGTATCTTACCTCTCTCATTTCTAGATTTGCGCGAAACTTTTAAATAATGAAAAAAAAAAGTATTTTTAAATAAAGAGTAACTACTAAAAGCTTTACACGCGTGCGCATGGGCAAAGGTCGTTTTTTCTGATGTGCATCTACCACTGTTTTTGCCACATAGAGGAGCAACACAATTTATTACAAGAGCTGTAAAAGTAAATAAGGGAAGTAAAAAGGCAAAGAGTAAAATAAAAAAATTTTTTTCTGGGAATCCAGTCGCGATATTAAGGATTGAAGATAATAGACTTTGTTGTGAGTCAAGCGCAACACATAACACATACACACTGTGATGGCAGAAAAAGAAAGCGCAAATGAAGAAAAAAGGCACATGCCTCACATATATCCTCCTCCTCACTTCCCTTCATCAATTACGGGGTGTCAGCAATAGGCACCATTGCAAATTAATTTCCTTCATGCAGGAAAGGGAAGAAGCGCCACAAACATTAACGGCACCAAACGGCCAACGAGTATCAGAAAAAGGGAGTAAAAATATGTCAAGAAAGGTGAAAAAATAGAAAAAGAATTTATGGAAGTTGTTAATCAAAAAAAGGAATATAAATAAGCCAAAAGTTATTCTCTGGATTTTTTTGTTTATAAAAAAGAAGCTAACATTATTATATTTTTGTGAGGGGAAGCTAAAAAGGAAAATTGGGAAAAGTGTCGAGAAAGGAGCAAAAAAGAAAAATGAGAGGTCAAGAGCCAAAAGGCCACGGGATAATTGAATAAGGATGGCCACGGGATAATTGAATTGAGGAGGGAAAAAAGGGAGGAAAGTGGTAAAAATGAAGCTGAAGAATGAATGAGGGAAGTATTTGAAGTAGGCGGAACGGTCGAAGGAAAAAGAATTGGGAGAAGGGGTGGGAAGAAGGGGAGGAGCGAGTTTTAGACTTAATGTATATGGTTGTAAGATGAGAAAATTTAGAAGGAATATTTGGCCGGCCAGATAGTCAAAAAGAAAATTTTACAAAAAAAAGATTAAAAAGATAAAGTATTTAATCGTAAAAAAGCGCCAAAACATAAACGGCTAAAAGAGCGAAGCTTTAGTAAGAAGGGAGCCTTTGACAATTTCAAAAGTTTTAGCAATGGCATAAGGAAAAATGTAAAGTTATCATCCCTCTATAAGTTATCTAGTAAATTTTAAATCATAGTTGTGTGGCCAAGGAGTTAAATGAGTTCTTTGGCCAAAGCATTCTTTCATATCTAACTTACAAAGGAGAGTGTTTTAGGTGTCCGTAGGAACCTGACTGATTTAAGTTTAAAGTAATTTCCAAGTTTAAATATAAATTCCAACTACCAAAATATAAAAATTATAAGGGGCAATTATTTGTGTTATTGATGATGAAAAGGGATATAAAAATAAAATGAAGGGAAACAAACAGGAAGAAGGAAAAAAGGCCAAGCAAATGATGGAAGGGAGAAATAAGGTAGTATAAATATAAAAGCAATAAAGAAAATCAAGATGTAAGGAATCGAGAAAAAAAATAAAAAAAAAGGAGGAAAAATATAAACAAGTACAAATCAACAAGATGAGCGCGGAGTCGGGTGGCATGAGTGAAGATGAAAAAATTTAGAAAGTGAAGAGGATAAATTGGGGAATGAATGTGTGGCCAAGGAGTTAAAGAGAAGAAGACTCAAAACAGGCAAAAAATAAAAATGAATTCGGCGTCGGAAGAGATGAGGATGATAAGTGGAGGGAGGATGGGAGAGAATTATAAATAGGGTGGAAGGAAGGAAGAAGGGATGGAAGAGTGGAAGAGAACAAATATAAAGAAAATGAAGAGGACAACAACAATAATAAAAATAAAAACTAAATATTAGGGTTCCGAGACGACACACGACGGCGCCACATAAAAATCTTATAATAAACAATCACCTCCCTTATGCTTTTCCTGATATACTTATTTCCCGCACCCATCTTCCCCCTTACCTTTTTCATAATTCCTCTATGTGTGGTCTTTTTCGTTTATTTTTTTTAAATGCTTTTCCCCTCCTCTTTCCATTTTTTTAAACTTCCTCGTTCTTCCCTTCTCATCTTCTTCCCCCTTATTTTTCCCATTTCTTTCAAAAACGCATGTTTGATGGTTTGTTGGCCACCCTGACAGCGCAGAATCACCAGCACCACCACTCATCAGTAGAATCCTCCCTCCGAATGTGGAATGAGCCGCGCCGCAGCCGTTTGTGATAGTGAGGCTTCTCTTAGCCGTAGGGCAAACATTAGATGGCGGGGACAGTGAAACGTGAGATGATAGTAGAATAAATTTTTGGGATGTATAAAATTGTAAGTGGAAATTTTGGCCATTCGGATAGAATGGAAAAAGTGTGGCCACACACCTGGATAGAAAGAAAGCTGTTTGCTCGTTTATTGTTTGCCGTTAGTATTGTGCCATGCCGTGGAGGGTAAGGTGGTCTAAAGTCGGAAAAAGTATAAGTAGAGCATGAAATAGTAAATATATATTATACAAACAAAAGAAGAAAAACTTTTTTTAGAGTTTTAATAATAAATACATATTTTTTTAATAATTAGTAAAGCTTTAATTCTCATTTCAGAAAACATTTTAAATTAATAGTAAATAAAATGTTTCAAAGTAATAAAAATGTTTTAATTAAAGTAAAATAAATAAAATATTTAAAAATATTTTATTTTCGTTTAATGTGATCAATGAATTTAAATAAATTATTCTCAATATGGTCAATGAATTCCTTAAAATTTTATTCAATTAAAAGTAAATAGAATAAAAGAATGTTAAGTCTAAAATGAATATATAAAAGTCTTTTATGTATATTATTTGCATGTTATTTAGCAGTAGATATACAAAAAACATTAAAATAATAAATTGGAGAAGCCTAAAAAGGAAAAAAATATGCAGAAGCAAAAAACGGTTTTTTGCAAAAAAGGCATATTATTAAGCTAGTAAATATGTAATTGGAAGGAATTTAAAAGAAATTTGTATAAAAATGTTTTTAGTGTGAAAATAGAAAAAAATTTACTAAATTCTCGGGCCCTGTTTAAAGTTTTTTTGTTGTAACCTGACCTGAATAGGTTTTTAGAGCTAAAACTCTTTCAAAGAAAAATATTTAGAAAAAATTATTTTAAAAGATTAAAAATAATTTTTCTGCCTAATGAGAAATTAAAATTACCGATAGGCAAAAATTTATTTTAAAAATTAATTTTCAAAATTTAATGAAGAATCATAAAAATAGGAAACAATCATAATACTATTTATTTACAATCATTTGGGAAATTTATTAGAATTTTGTTTTGAATAAAAAAAATATTTGGGAAAATTCTTTTCAAAAAAATAAAAATAAAAATATTTATATTTAAATAATTAATTTAAAAATTTTCTTATAAATAAAAGTAAAGAAAATTATATTTAATAAATATGCACTTAAGTACTTAATAGTCTTAACATCGATTTTGATAAAATATTAATAAATGAAATTTTTTAATTTGCTTTAAAAAATTCTAATTCGAGAAGGCGAGGGCAGGAATAAAATAATCGAATGAATTAAATTACCGTATTTTTTGTATTAGAGCCCCATGGGGCTCTATTTTTCAACTATCCTCCAAAGTGGGGCTTTATTACAGCGTGGGGCTCTAATAGAGCGTGGGGCTCTATTTTTCAACATATTTTTGAAAATAGGTAATAGGATTTCAATTATAAGGTTAACTATATTTATCAAATCAAATAAGATTTAATCACAAAAACAAATTTCAGCATTAGGATAATTACAAAGTGGATAGTTGCGCGTGCACAGTAATTCGCGGTTAAGTCATTTGATTTGGATTTAAAGTCAATTTTTTTTAATTTGTGGAAGGATCGAATCCTATCGAGCATTTGAATGTTCGATTTTATTTTGCTTCAGTCCGCATGGTTCATTCCTTCGTGTGTATATCTAGTTTAGTCCCAATTGATGGATATAGATGTGAGCAAAAAGTTATTTGGGGATTAATTTTGAAATCGGGAGACTTGGGGAGTATCAATGATTTGGGGATTAATCGGATATCGGAGGATTTCTGAGATGAATCTGCTGATAACTAGGCTAATCTCGCCATTATCTATGCTTACCAGTATATAGAAGAATCTCCTAATATCTCCTATAACGTCCAAATCCCTTCATTGGAGAGAATCATATATATGGAAGGAATATAAATATCAATAGATTAAGAGTGATTTTGGGAATATCAGTCTACGGATTGTTTTTAATGTTATTGACATACAAAGAGATTTTCGAGGAGATATCATGAGATTAGGCGGAATATCTGGTAATTTGTATGGATTAAGTTTGGTTCAATGGATATCGGCAGATTAAGGTGTATTAATCCATAAATAACCTCTTAATCGCATATACATAATCTCTAACATTGGCACAGAACATTAAATAAAAGAAAAAACAGTATAATATTAAAAATTAACAATTTATTATACAATAGGTTAATTTTAAAAAGTGGGGCTCTATTTCAGCGTGGGGCTCTAATACAGCGTGGGGCTCTATTTTTCAACTATCCTCCGAAGTGGGGCTTTATTACAGCGTGGGGCTCTAATACAGCGTGGGGCTCTAATACAAAAAATACGGTATTTAATTCTAAATTTGGTAAGTCAAAATAGAATTTTTTAAATAAAAAACCAAGGAATTATTAGTTAGAAGGATACTTCTAACTAATAAAAATCTTGAATCAAAAAACAAAAACAAATCCCTTAAGATTTAAAAATGGGACCTATGTATATGTTAACTCAGTCTTAGCATTGATTCTTTACTCCTCAAAAATCCACTCTTGTTGCCCGCTTCTCAACAAAACCGCCCTCCGCAGCCGTTTTCTTCTCCACCTTCTTAACAGAGGGACGACAACAGCAATATGTAAAGGGTAAAATGAGCTTGCCCGCTCATTGCGACGCGCATTTATATACGAGGTCTGTCCTTCTTAAAAGAAATGGGCAGGCTGGCAGGAAAAAATGGGCGGGAAGTTAAAAATTTTAGAAAAGACAGACTCTCTATTCTTTATTTTTCTCTAATTCTCGTTATCACAACATTTTTAACGTGTTTGTTGTTTACAACGAAGAGCGTCCGCCCCCTCGTTTTGACGATGTTATTAATGGGCGGCGCACGTACGCTTGTTGTCTAGCCATCGAGAACTGTCTCAAATAAAGAATATCTCTGTCAAATATTCTTTAGTAATAAGAAAAAAGCCCGTAGGATAAATTTTCGACAAAATGCCATTTAGAGTAATAAAATAGAATCCAGAAAGCTTTTATCTTTTTTAAAGACTTCTTCATTAATTATCAGATGTTCCAGTACTTAATATTTCGAAAACCCTTTAAATTATCTGTTACTACATTAACTATTTTTCTGTATTTCCTCTTCAAAATTCTCGAGAAACGCACGCCTTACTTGTCTTTGTGCTCCGCAGCAGCGTAAAGGAGCACCGCAGAATTTTAAATGAAGGTTAGAGCATCAGCGACTAACGCAAACATATGGGCAACTAGCCAACTTCTCTCGATAGTGGGCGGTACTTGTGAAGACGCATGCGCATCCCTCTCACTTCTGCTTCCCTTAATACATTCCTCTTTTTCTTTCTCTTTCTTTCTTATCCTCGCTGATTGTAAGCGGGCGACTGGTAGTTAAAAAAGCCTTCTGGCCAAAGACAGCTGTCACTCACCTAAATAGCGTTTCGGCCTTTGGCCTCTGCCTGCGTTGCTTGCTGTCTCAAAAAGCAAATTTAGCAGCAATTGCCCCGATGCTTCAGGCATAGCTTAAAATGTATGAGGACCAAGAAGAGAGGTGAGAGTTGTTTAAAAATTGTAAACTTTTACTTCTTTAAAAGGATTTTTGGAAATATCTTTTAGTTTAACTTATTTTTTGTGGGGAAAAAGAATATGTCTAAAGAAAGCATCTTTTCTTGTTTTAATATATTTCCTCGTCGAGAGTGAAGAAAAAGATGAAAAATAAAAGAAAAGTACATTTGGTTTTGCTAAAATGTAATGCTATTTTGCTGATAAGCAATTCTGTAGACGCCATCATGTCTGTCATTGTTGATTAGAAAAGGACGGCGAAAAATAGTAGTAGACATTCTAGTAAAAGCAATGACTGGCTCAATCGCTGATATATTCTTTACAACACATACACAAACAGCATTCGTTCAAGCACACTTTCGAATCCTTTACCCATTGCGCTTTTAAAGCAAAACGTTTTTAGTATTTTTTGGAGAGGAAAATATTTAGAGATTTGGACGTTTTGTCTTGTCTATTTTCCAATTCTCGCTATCAGTAATTTAAAAAATAAAAATTATCAGTGAAATAAAAACAGAAAAGGCAACAAAAATGAATAAATAAATAGATTGTTGGGGTTCGATTCTTTAGTAAAAATATAAAATATTTTTATTTAACCTCTAATTTATTTAACCAGAAACTCATATAGGTATGTAGCAGAATAAATAATAATGGATACTCATCTCCCATTAATAACTTTAGAAATAAATTAACAACCATTTAAAAATACTTTTTGGCAGTTTTCCAAGTTTTCTTTCTCGATTAATAAATATATCAGTAACCAAGTTATAGAGTTAAAAAGCCAAGTAAAATACCCCAATTATATACACCTAATCTTTATTTATTTTTTTAAAACCCCAATTTATCTTTTTTTCATTTAAATCTTTAACTATTTCTATTTTACCTTTTTTCGTCAGCTTCTCTTTTAAAAAATTTTTCAGGGGAATAATGTTGGGTGGTTTAAACAATTTACTATATCATTAAATATATAAAAAGGATTTATTTAATAATAAATAGTTTTGGTTGGTTATAAGGCGATGAAAAGAGAAGAAAAAAACAAAAAAAAATTAAAAAAAAAACTACTTACGATTAGGAACGGTGTTTAGTGTCAGTGACGGTTAAAAAAAGAGAAGGGACGTGGTCGATGATGTTGATAGGGGGGTTTTGACGGATTGACGCGCCAAACAACGCAAAAAATAAAAAAGAATTAGGGTGGCCGATCAACAATGAAAAGAAGAAAAATTAAATGGACAGTTTAAGTAAAGAAGTAGTAATTAATTGAAAATATAATAAATTAAAAGTTTTTTTTTAAATAAATAAAGGTAAAAATTGAGAGAAGAAAGAAATATTTAATAGACTAAATAGCTTATTATTATATTTTGAAAAAAAAATAAATTTTATATAAAGACTATTATTTTCCTTTATCACAATCAAAGGTGATTCGAATAAATTAAAAAGAAAGAGAAAATTAAATAGACAAATTTAAATTTAAAAATAATTTAATTTAAAGTTTAAAAGATTAATTTAATTAATTAAAACAAACAAAAAAATTAAAAGAAAACTAAAAAAAATTTTCAAATCATTCAAATAAAGTAATCAATCAAAAATCTATTTATTTTTCTATCATTTTATAAACAAAGCCTAAAAATATAAAAAATACCTAAAACACTTTCTGACCTATTTTTCTTTAAACAAAAAATTAAATAATAATTATTTTTAAATTAAAGAAAAAAAAAATAATAAATTAATTTTTGAAAAATTAAAAGAGTGAAAATTTTGATAAATATTAAGAAAAAGGTAATTAAGAAAGAAAATATATTATTAAAAATTTAAAAATAAAATTTTGTGGTAAACAAAAAATTAATTAATTAAAAAATAAAAATGAAAGAATAAATTAATTTAAAAATTGCAAAAATATAAAAATATATTTTTGAACAGAAAAAGAGAGAGAAAGAATTAATTAAACGAAATACGAGAAAGTTAATTAGATAATTAATTTAGTTAAAACAAAAATTAATTTTTTTATAAAATTATTAAAAGCTAACCTTTATTTTAAATAAAAATATATTCATAAAATTTGCAACATTTTTTTATTTAATTTTTAATAAAAAAATTGTACAAAAAATTATTTTTTTCAAATAAAAAATTCACCAAAAAATTGTTTTCAATTTCCTACCCAGACACACATTTCTTATAAACAAAAATTGCTTTTTTGGCGGATGGCGCCATAGTTAATGAGAAACCCCCCTCACCAGGATGTGTTGCTTACAAGTGCAAAAAAAAGAAGAAAGAGTGTTTGTGTGCCCTTTCTCCTCTCTTTATTATTATTTTTTTATTTTTTCAATTCACACGCAAACAAGAAAGGCAAAATTAATTAATTTTTTGTTTTTTTACAATTTTTAAATGAAGCTTTAAATAAAATTAAAATATTAATTTAAAAAATATATTTTTGATAAATAAAACTAGACAGAGTAAATAATTAACAACAATTCTTTAAAAATTAATTTTTTTTCCAAAAATAATTCACTTAAAAATTCACCAAAAAATTTCCTCAAACAAAAATAAAAAAAAGAGAAAATTACATTTTTTGGCTATTGCATTTGGCGCCTCTGTTAATTAGAGCCAAAAGAATAAAAAAAAATTTTTTTCAATTCCAAATAATCACGCAAATACTTAATAAAAAATAAAAAGAAAGAAAAATTAGAAAATATATATTTATTTATTTTATATTCAATTGAGAAAAAGAAAATAAAATTATGGCACAAAATTCCTGTTGTGCATAAATCTGGAAAATTTTTGGAAGGTTTGGTTGGGAATTTGTTTAAGTTTTGAAAACAATAAATGAAGAAAATATAGATAGATGAATATAATTTGGAAAGAATTGGCATAAAAATAAGACACAAACTTATAAATTAAATAAATTTGGAATTTTAGAAAACGGAAGACGGAAAATAATAAAAAAGATGGAATCGGTGTATTATTTTAATTTAAGCATTAATCTTTATTTATTAATCTATATATGTAAATAAATAATCTCTAATGTATTAATCTCTATTAAAATCAGGTAAAATTAAAAATAGCGGCAAGTCTGATTAATTTATTTCATCAAAAGTTAAAAAGTAAAGAGACAAAAATAAATTGAGGAAATTAATTTAAAAAAATATATTTTTGAGTAACTATTATTATAAAAAAATAAGTCAAAATCTAAAAAAATAATTTTTGTTTCTTTATTATAAAATTGAAAATATATGTATTTTTTATAAAATATTTAAATTAATTGATTAAACTAATTTAGAGTAATCAATTAAAATACCCAAAATTAATTAAATACATATTCTCTAAAAAGTTTAATTTTTACTTAAAATTTTTTATTTTATTTTTAACCCATTAATCGGATAATTGGCGCGGAATTGACGGAAGTAGTATTTATACGCGTGGCTAGGGGCTGTGGGAATTCTAGGTGAATTAATATATAAAATAAGAAAATAAAATAAATGCGCATATAAATTTAAGAAAATAAAATAAAAGTAGTGTTTCGAAAATTAGAGAGGAGAGGAGAGGGGAATTAACATTAAAGTTTTTATTTTTAAAGTTTGTTGAAATAATTTTTTTGTTAAAAAGAGAGGAATTATTTTAAAATTTAAAGAAAATACAATGTCGCCGGAAATTGTACTAATTTTAGGAAATTTTTTTCTGGGGAATATTGCAAGTTTCGGGTTGGGTTCCAAAAATTTTTTATGTTGAGATGACTAATTGGGTTGAAACAATTAATTAATTTATTTAAATTTCAGATAGCCATAATTGTTTTTTTAATTAAAAAAAATTGACTATAGCTATCAAAAATTTAATCAAAAAGCAAGGATGACCTAAAATAAATTAGTCTAAGATCCCACGCATAAAAAATGACACGAAACCCAATCCCTAATTTGAAAAAATTAAATTAGAGTTATTTCCTTAAAAGACTGCTGAAATTGTAGATATATAAAGTTTAACAAAATTAAATTAATCGTAAAAAAATTTCTTTTTTAATTTTAAGTTGGGTTGTTTCGATAAACTTTTAAATATCAACTTAAAAATATATTTATTCGTTTTCTTTACTAATACACTAATAAAAATGTTGCACTTTTATTTTTTTTCCTCGCAAACATTGATGTGAGGTATTTACTGAGAGAAGAAAAAGAAAAATAAAAAAAAAAGTTTTTTTATTTGTCTTCCTTCATTCTTCCTCTCATTCACCTCCTCTCATCACTTTGTCCTTCTAAAAAGATATTAAGAAGATTGAAGAAAAAAATAAAGAAAAAAGGAAGAGGAAAATCAAAAGAAAATAAGGTAAAGTGAATTCTCTCCCCAAATAAATTTTAATAAAAATATTTTTTTAAGTGGTGAGGATGTTGAAAAAAAATATTTAAAAGCTATAATCAGAAAAGGGAAAATAAAAAATAAAGTTATTTTTGGCAATTAAATGTAACATTTTTTAACAAAAATTAATTTTGTAGAATTACTTTATTAAAATTATATCCAAAGGAGGATTATTTATTTTATTAAAAATAGTTACTATAAATTAAAACACATAGAGAAAGAATATCAAAATTAAATATAAACTCCTGATGATTAAAAATGGATATTGTCGGGACACAATATATTTTTGGCCAATTGTTTAAACGTCATTAGAACAAACAAAGCTAACATAAAATATCGAAAATAAATTTTTATATATTGGATTTTAATTTTTAGGTTAAATTTGGGGCAGAAAGTGTTACACCCTCAGTTAAATCCGGATGCAAGGTATCAGATTCGCTGGTCTTGTTGTTTTTACCTTTATAGACAAAAATCAAATTAGTACAAAAAGATTTAATAAGAAGGTTAAGGATCTGTGTATAAATAGAAGATTTGTTTAAAAAAGCCAAAAATAAATATTACAATTTTGTTAAAAAAAGAAAAGAATATTTATTTATTTATTTCGCCTAATAAAAGCTAAAAAATATCATCTGGTTCTGATCAGCTCAAATTGCCCAGACATTTTGATTAATTGTGTCTTATAAATATATTTTTAATTTATTCCAGACAATTTATTTTAGAAAGTTTTTTTTGGTTAAAAAAAGAAAGGAAAATGTTGTTACTTACACATTTTCTTGTTGCAAAATCTTTTAAATAATTACATATTTTTTAGAATTTTTTTTAAAAACATTTGGTATTTATTTAAAAAACATTTATTTTCTTTTTTAATTTTTACCTAAAAAATACATATATTTTTCCAATTTATTCCTACAAATAACCCATTTATTTTGTTACACGCGTCACAAAGCCAGAATAAAATAAATGAGCCGTAATGCCTCCTTCCCTTCTAGTAAATACTTTTCTACATACATATTAACTTATTTATTTATTTTTCCTCCAAAAAATTTTAAAACTTCTTCTACATATTCCCCCAATTTTCTTCTTTTCTTTGAACTTTACCGCCGTCACAAAATTGCAACAATAAAATAAATTGGGAAAGGCGGACATGACAGATGCCAAATAAAATTTTATGAGTTTTTATAGTAAAGAGAATATTTACATACATTCGAAAAAAAATAAAATTAGGTACAGAATTCTAAAAAAAAATAAAAATAAAGGAAATAATTTTTACTTTAAAAATAGACATAAATCTTAATTAGGATATCCTCTTTATTTATTTAAAATAAATTATATTTTGTCCCTTTCTTGCATTCTGTGACAAGGAATAAAAACCCCCATATTAATAAGATAAAATTTCCTTTTGATCTCTTAAAAATAAAATAATAAAAGAAATTTTAACAAAAAATATTCAAAAAATATAAATTCCCATCTCCCCCATCCCCCATAAGTAATTACTTTATTTTCAATATTTTTTTATATTTTCCTCTTTTATAAAAAGTATTTTCTTCTGACAGTTTTTATGGCTAAAGACCACCCTCCCCACCCTTCGATTCATCCATTCATAAAAAAAGTTTTTAAGTGGAAAGGATAAACAAAAAAAATTTTGTGAATAATAGTGAGTAAATAGAGGAGAGCCTTTCTTGCTCGCTCATAAAAAAAATTTTTTTTTCTAATAAAAAGTCCTCACTTTTTTAGATCTAAACTAAAAAAAGTGAATGTCTGCATTTGTTTGTTTGCGTGCATTTTAATGCCCGGCCAAAAATTCAATGAATGGCTCTCGTCCCTCTACTAAAAAATCATAGTTAAAAAAGAGACGAGAAGGAAGGAATTTATGGCAGAAATGAGCAAAATTAATAAAAAAATAAAGAAAAGTATAATTGATAAAAATGGAAGTGTAAAGGATGAATTTGAAGCTACGTCAAATACGGATATAAACTTAAAGGTGTAGTGCCGGCTGCAGTTTTCGAGTATGACGAGTTTTACAGGATTTCTGGATTTAAGCAGCGCAATTGTCATATCCAGAATTGTCGTCTTTTTAAAAAAAAGAACAGAAGTTTGAAGAAAATAATGAAAAAAGTAGGATTATTGGAAACTGAAAAAAAGTCAAAAAAAGCATACATTATAGTAGCGGACGCCAGCGGCAAAGATATACACTTTTTGGTGAAATATATAGACAAAAATATATTTCACCAAATACTATGTACAACCTCTGAGTTAAAGAAGAACCAAAATGAGTGAAGGAAAGGGGGGGGGAGAACGAAGGAAGGAAGGAAGAAGGGAAGGAATGGATTTGAAAGATGTATCTGGGGTTGTTGGCAATGTTGCCAATTTTCCGCCGCTGAAGCCGGAACGATGATATTAGTTTGGAATAGTTTTAGTTAGTAGTAAATAAAAATAGTAGTAATGCACAACAGAAGATAGTTAAAAAGTGGCAAAAATGAGAAAAGGCTGAATTTTTAAAGGAAGATTAGTTTTGGATATTTAATAGAGAAGGGAGAGAGATTAAATAATAAATTAAAAAATATTTTTAAAAATACATAAAATTGGTAAAATTAATTTTTTAAAGTTTTTAAAGAAAAATGGATTTATTAAAGATAAATTGTATCTGGACACCGACAGAATACTAAGTTAAAATTTTATTATTTTTTGAATAAATTCTAAAGATTTTTATAAAATAAATAATAAAAACTTTAATAAACACAAAAATGTACTAATAATAAAATGAGAAAAATATTTATTTATCCAAAATAATCGATTTGTCCGTCGTAGAACACGTACCTATATAGTCCCCCGCTGAAATCTTTGTTGACAACAATAAAAAAAAGTAGAAAATTATTTTTATTAAAATAATTAAGAAAGAGGAAAAGAAAATTGGAAGATATTTTAAAAGATTTTGAAGTAGTAGAAAAAATATAAGTATTTTTTAAATTAGGTATATGTATGTAGATCATAGTTGGATAAAAAGCCGTATAGCTGTACAAAATAATTCACGATTTAGGAAATTCTCGACCTAAAAAACGTTGGGAATTCCCGATTTTCGGGAATTTTGTTGAATCTGTGAATTTCTATGGACCAGGAGTTTTTATTTTATTTTATCACTCAAAACTCCTTTTTATCGTCGCAGGCATGAGAAAATACAGTCAATGAAAATTAAAGCAGTATTTTATACCAAAAATATCAAAAACTCAATCCAAAATATGGATTTGAATTTTGACTCAAGACTTCTTGGACGAAACTTGTCAGTGCATTTACCTTCTGATATTTTAGTAGTAAAAAGGTTGTTAAACAAGTACCAGATAAAGTATCAAGAAATACATCCGTTTATCTCAATAATTTATTACACAAAACTGTTAATTAATATCCTTGTTTAAAAAAAATCCTAGAGATGATCGGATCTAGCATAAAAATGTCTTTTAAATCGATTGCAGAGATTAGAGAAATGGAAGGATGAAAAAAGTATTTTCCCTTCAGAACAACAAATTCTGTAAATTAATTTTAATTTAAATTTAAATTTTTACTATTTAATAACCATTCAAAAATTGTCTAGTAATTAATTTTAAATAAAACAGTTTCTTTTTATTTTATCATAATTTTATTAAATATTTATTGAAAATAACACCTTAACACAAGCACTGAGCCACCAGATTAATTGTTTCGAATTAATCAACCAAACATCTTTATTCCCAATTAAATCAGAATTTAAAAGTAGAATTCTATAGCTATTGGAGTATTCTTCTCAAATATTATAAAATCTCTTTTTGTTGGAGATATGAGGAAAAAAGTAGTCTAGTTCTACATACAAACTCTCCCTCCTTTATTTAGCAATCTCTCCATATTTTCCTTCTCTTCTTTTTAGTTATTTCCTCTTTTTTTAAATTCAGCGCCGCGAGCTTTAGAGCTCTGCAAATAATAAAAGCACCCGCTCACTTCTTTTATAAAACGAAGAAAAGCTAAAAAAGAAAGAGAGTAAACATAGCCAGACGATCATAGCAAAAATGTGTGGGTAGAGAGACGGAGGAGGAAAAGCGGAGTTTATGGCTAAATGTGTGATGTTGACCGTTGTTTTTAATATAACATTTTTGGCTTAAAAAAGGATATAAAGAATAATTTAAAGGGAAAAATGTTTTTATTTAAGAGAGCTTCTCAACTATTTCCGATACCCTGTATTTTGTTGATATACACAGAAGGAATAAAAGCGAAGTTTGTGTGTATTCGTTATACAGTAAGATGCGAAAGTTGGAGAATTCTGATATATTCTGATATACTCGAATTTACTACTAAATATTCCAGTTTTTACGTTGGAGCTTAATAAAATAATTTTAAAAATTATAGGGAAGAGTAGTTCTCCTCTCGGCTCAAATGTTTGGGATAAAGTTTTAATATAAAACTTTATGTGAGGAAAATAAAAAGAGGAGAGAGAATGATTAGAAAATTGGATAAATCAAAGAAAGAGCTTTTATTTAAAAAGAGAGATTTTCTAAAGATTATTTATTCTCCCTTCTAAATACTAAAACTAAGAAAAAATTTGACATTTGATCTCTTTACAAAATCAATAACCAAACATCAAATTCATTTTAGTTAAAGGAAATGTTGATCAGAACTATCTAAAAGAATATACAGGGTGTTTCAACTAAGAAATACTATTTGAAAAATCTATAACTTTCTACTAAGTTGACAGATTTTAAAGATATTTTGTATTTTATATCTATATTTTATAGCATTTTTTCTCACATAAAAATTATGTCTAAATTCGAACCCTAACACAAGATAATTTCGTACTCTACCGTTCTGTTTTTCCCTTTTTCCGCACATGCATTCTTACTTCCCTTTATTTGTTGTAAGGGGAGACAGACACTAGAGTAAACACTAGGCGATAGACGCTACATTTTCAATACAGTATCCACTCTTCGCCATACGCAGGAAAATAAATGAAGTAAGATAGCTCACAATGAAAAGAGGGAAAAAAGAGAACGGTAGAGTACGAAATTGAAATACAGGGTTAGGGTTCGAATTTCGACATAATTTTTATGTCAAAAAAAATGCTAGAAAATATAGATAAAAATTACCAAATTTTATTAAAATCTGTCAATGCAGAAAAAAGTTATAGATTTTTCAAATAGTATTTCTTAGTTGAAACACCCTGTATTTATTCCCCTTAGTACACTCCCAAAAATTTTATTTATGTATAAGAGGAACGCCACACAAAAAAACAAAAAAACTTATGTTTAAAATAGGTAACTCACAAAAACGTAAACAAGCAAAAGCAAAGACTCTTGTGAGGGGCACAGTTGTTATTTTATATACTGAAAAATAAATTTCATCTTTCATCTCACAGTTTTCTTCTTTTTTTCATAGCTTTTAAAGAGTGTTGTGAGAGAGTTTTGGAGGACAATCCTTTTATTCTCATCTATCCCCCCCTCTATGTCTCTCAAATTTTATGAACATATCCCCCTCCATCTTCCCCCAACAAAAATCATCAACATATACCACAAAATGGCCTCCTTCAGGGCCGAGGCCGAATTAACAAAAAGCAACGAGAAGGAGTGGAACCTGTTCTTCTTCCTCTTCTTTCTAAAATAGTTAATGTTGGCGCCGTCATCGCCTTTATTTTCTGTCCTCTTTTTAGGGGAGTCTGGCTGCTCTTCTTAACCCTTCGGCGGTGCTACTCCTCCTTCGTCTTCTCCTTTTTTGCATAAATTTCTCAATTTCCATTTTTTTCCTTTTTTATTTTCTGCACAACCCATCATCAATTTCGCGGCGAAAATGGCAGAAAAATGAAAATTGTAAAGAAAAAAATAAAACGGTGGTCGTTTGTTTGTAAGATACGATTAAAAAATAGTAGAGTGGTTGATGTTGATGGGCATGGAATAAATATATATGTGTGTGGGGGGAATGGGGGGGGGGGGGGGGGGGAGTCTCTTTAGTGTGCCTATAAACTCATCAAGAAAATGAAAAACCGGAGTTTGTTAAATTTTTAAATTATATAGAAAAAAATTTTCTACAAAAATGAGTAGGAGGAAAAGATGAAAAAAGGAAGGGGGGGGGAGGGGGGGATGAGGGGTATTTTATTTATTGGCTTTGGTTTTTATTTAAAAAATTATCAACACCTTTTAAAGGTTTTTTGGGTGTGTATGTGGTAGAATTAATTGTAAATGGCGGGGTAATGTGAGTGAAAAAGAACTAGAAGATGCTGACAGATGGAGAAAATTTAGAGGAGGGAGGAGAAGGAAAAGAGATGAATGAATGTGTTTTTTGTTGTTTTTGTTTCTGTTTTTCAATGCTAAAATATTTTTTTTATTTTTCTAACCAACAATAATGCTTGTTTACGTAATTACACAACCAACCGTCCATTGCGGCCAAAGAGCGACCGGATTTGCTGCTCACGGCAGAATATGTAGGCATTAAAGGAAGGAAACAATAAACTTTCATTTTATTTTCTACCTAAATAAGTACTTTTAAACAATGAGAGAAAATCAAATAAAAAGGAAGACAATAAAGGGATAAGAGGGTTAAGTAATCGTGTGGCACTTTTTATAGAAATGAATTTTAAAATTAGGGGGTGTATTTGAAAAATTAAGGAATTTAATATAAAAATAATAATAATGAAATTCTTGTTGATGAATTGAAAGTGGAAATTTAAAAATTTTTTAGAATTTCGTTAGAGAGGAATGAGAGATTGGAGTTATTAGACAGTAAAATAAAGGAAGTAAAGAGCCTAAAATTAAGTTTAATTAATTAAATTTTGTTAAAATTATTTAATATATTAGTAAAATATTCTCTCAACCATACAAATAAATATTGGACATTTTTTACAATTTAAAAGTAAAAAAAGCTACTATATATTTGCCGCGCGCTTGTTTTGCCAGTTTTTAATTATAAAGTGTATAATAAACGTTTCCATGTCAAATAAAAAATATAAATTTATTTACGCAAATGATATTAAAAGTTGAGTCATTGATAAAAGAATATGTAAATATTTTTAATAAAAGAAAGTAGAGAAAGTCATGAAATTTAAATATATTTTTCTATAATTTTAATTTATTTCGCTTAGAATTTAATTTTTTTTATATGTCTAAAATTAGAAAAGACTTAATATTCTACAAAATTTAATAATTATGTAATTTGGATTTTTTATTGCGGAATTTGGGTTGTTGGTTTCACCAAATTCTTCGGTTAACTGAAACCGAGCCGACAACCGAAAATTCAGTTCGGTTTGAAACCAACAACCCTTAATTATTAAAATATTTAAATAAAATAAATATTAAAAAATAATTTTTATAAATTTAAAGCCCTATCTATGCTTTGTCATACTTTAAATAAAAATAAATGTAAAATAACCTTTATTACAAAAAAAATAAATTTTTTCTTTAAATTTTAAAATATTTTCCTCAATGGGCAGACGAGAAGAGGTCAATACTGCTAGTATTTTTGACACACTTAAAAGAAATATTCGCTCAAAAAATATTTAAAATAAAAACTTTTAAAGTTTTTGATCAAAAAAAGTCTCAAGGATTTAAAAAATTAGTTAGATTTAAAAATAATTTTTAATTAAAAGAAAATTTAAAAGAAATTATGAAAATATAAACCAGAGTATTTTTAATTTAAAAAACCCTCCATGTTTTTATTTTTATTTTATTACAAAATAAAATATTTAATGTTGGCATTGATGTGTCAAAAAATATATAATAAATTTAAAGAAAAAACTTTTTTAAATTAGTTTTCTTCCCTTCTAAATTTCCATTTTGTGGTTAAAAAGTTAACAAACAATAGCAGTTTATCAATCCTTTCTTAAAAATTTTTTTGAATGTTGCCTTTTAAAAAACCGTCTCTTTTTTGAATTAAAAAAACCTATGACCGTCTCGACGGCATAAATCATTTAGATAAATGTTTGGAATAACAAAAAATAAAAAAATGAAGGATTAAAAAAAATTTAAAAAAAATGTCAAGTATTCAAAAATTATTGCGTGTGCTTGCCTTTTTGTCATTTCTCATGAGAATTGTGACAAAAAGAAAAGAATTTTGGATGGCATATCCGAATTGTTTATTTGTGCCTGCCTTCTTTTTAGTACCCGACACTTGAAAATAATTTATCTTTTTTTATATATTTTTGATGGGATTTAAAAGAAAAAAAAAGAAAAAAATATTTAAATATTTAATGATTGTGAAGGATTTTGGGAAGCTTTTTTTTTGTTTTTTGTGTCCCAGACAAACATAAAAGAACGTCGGAAGTTGAAAATTTTTTTTAAGAAATAAAAAGATTTTTAGTTATTTTATCAATAAGAACTCTACCTAAACACAAATTCTTTTATAAATTTTATGGGTTTTTCTTTCGAGAGTTTTTATTTTATTCTCCCTCCCCCCTTCCCCCATTCCATCTTTCTGGCTTTAACAACTTAAAATATTTCTTTTATTTAGTTGAATTCTTTTTTTTTATTTATTTTTTGGGCAATTTGCCAAAAAATTGTTTTACACAAGACAAACATTTTATATATACAAAAATGTTTAATAAAAAGGAAAAAAGGAATATATAAAACTAAAAATTTAAAAAAAATTAAAGAAGGAGGGATGGGGGGGGGGGGGGCTTTAAATTGAGAATTTTTGTAAAATAAAATACATATAGGTATTTTATTTCGAGAGTTTTTATTTTATTCTCCCTTAAAAGAAAATTCTTAACAATACAAGAAAATAACATTTTTAAATGCAAAAAGTCTATGCCGTTAAATTCGCATTTTTAGCGCAAATTTAGAAAAAATTTAATTAAAAAAAAGGCCAGGGGACGGTTTTTGTTATCCTCAAAAGGATTAAACCATATTTTTTCCTATATTTTTAATCTTTACATCCATAACCATGTAGAACCAAAATAAAGTTTAATAAATTTGAAAATCTAATTTAATTTTAACAATTCCAAATTTTGTTTTTCTATATAGGTAAATACTTTTTTATTGTATTTTTGACAAAAAAATTTATTGACTATTTTAGTAGGTTAAGTTTTTATTTTTTTATTTATCTAAACTTACCTTTATAAAAATAAAAATTTATTGAAGATAAGCTTTGCGCATTTCGCAATTTTATAGTTTTGTTGTGTTAAAATTTTTGGGTAAATATTTTTGTAAAAAATGAAATAAAAAAAGATTATTATGAATAAATAAATATATTTTTGTTAAATATCTGAAAATTAAAATTTAAAAAAATATATAAAAATATATAATGAAAAATTAAAACAAAAGTTTAGTAAACGGATTTTGCTTTTTTTTTCTTAAATTTTAGGCTTTACTGACACTGAACTATTCGAATTAAATGTCATGAAATGAATGAAAATTAAGCAATGAACTATTAGAAGCTGTTAAATTCAAAGATTTTAACTTCCCCTTAAAATCCCGTTCTCACAAATCAATGCTTCCTCTAATGCCATTTTGGGAATTTTAAACACTAAACACTCGGGTTTTCCTTTTTTAAATTACAATATTTCTAATTATAATTTTATAAAAAAAATTTTTTAAACAATTTTCTTGTTTTTTTTCCATTTATCCTTTTACACTTTATTTCTCTCTTTTTTCCTTCCCAAATTTAACCAGCCACCTACAATTAACTTTTCGTCGCGCGCCTCATCCAAGCAACACTTTTTATTAGAAAAATATACATAAGGTAGTGGTTATTGTAGTAGAAATGATTGTTTTTGGTTAAAAAATATAAAAAAATCAAATAAAAACTATTTTTTATATTTTTTTGGTTCTGAATCGTCAACACATTTATTTATGTGTAAATATGTGATTAAAAATAAAAAATAAAAATGCCGATAAATTTTTAATTTTGTTTGTGTATATTTGTGTGAGAAGTAAAAAAAGGATCATGTAAAATTAAAAAAAATCAGAAAATAATTTAAAGATAAAATTAAAGTCTGAAATTTTTTATTTTTTAAAGTCTCAACTTTTCTCTAAAAATTTTAAAGATGAAAAATATATTTAAAAAAAAGCTCAGGTTCCTTCACTTATCCCCCTCCACAATTCTCCCATCTTTTTCTCACAATTTTTCCATCAAAACAGAAGAACGTGTCGAGTTTCAGGCCACCCAACATTTTATTGGTTGGGGCACTCCAAGCAACAATATAGAGGAAATAAAGAGAAGAAAAAATTAAGAAAATCAACACCCCATTAAAGACCACCTGTAGTGACCAAATTGGTTAGAAAAAAATTGTTGGTGAGAATTTTGTGTGAAAAATGAGATGAAAAATATAAATGTTTTTAGTCAATATAGAAGAGAGGAATTGAGAGAGGGGGGAAGAAAGCTTTAAATTTCTTATTTATTAATAAAAATCTTGAGTCTCAAAAAATGTTCAATAAATATTTAATAATAAGTGCTTAATGGAGGTTGATATCACGCATGGATGAATAATAGAGTATTAAAAAAAGTATTGAGAAAAGCTATTAGTGGTCGATATAAAAAATTTATATTTTTTTAAATATTATTTTTATGTTTATTGGCCTTGAAGAAAAGAAAAATAATTTTTATTCAAATTTTAAATTGAAAGAGGACTAGCCAATATACCGTAAATGCTCTAATAGAAGCCTTGGTCTTATATTTTTCAATAGGTCTACTCGGTCTCCTAGGATGGGCTTCTACAAGAGGTAGGCTTCTATTGGAGTATTTACGGTATATTTGCCAGAGGTAATCGAAAAATTATTTTTTAAATTCAAACTAAAATCTTATCGAAAAATACTGCCTTTAATTAAAAATTTATTAATTAAAGTTACTTATTTAGACTCCTTTTCTTTAATTAAAATTTTCGTCATCCCCATTTTATACTTTATTTTCTTTTATTATTTTTCGGCTCATTTGCTTAATTGACATTCCAACTTTGGATAAATTATGTATGCGAATATTTAATTGAAAATTGTGTGCAGAAGAAATTGCGATTATTAAGTGAATTAAGTAATTATTTTATATAAAGTAGATTGCCAAATCAAGTTTTTTATATTAAAAACTTTAAGAAAAGAAATAAAGATAATTGAAAGGAATAATTGAAATAATTAAACAAAAGAAAAGTTGAGAGGTTTTTAGAATTAGTTGAAAGTCGTCAGACTTTGAAAGTGGATATAATCTTGAATAATGTGTTTTTAAATTTTAAAATTTACTTTTAGAGAGTTTGTAATTTATTTTCAAATTTTCCAACTTACAACAAAAATATTAAGTAGATCTCCTAGTATTTAGTAGATTAATATATAAATATTTAGTAGAGATATCCTCTCTCTCTTCCCTCTCTTTTCAATTTCCTCTGACTGGCAACATTATCCAATATTCTTCTACTACTTACTAACCTCCTTTTTTCTTTTTAAAAGAAAAAATTAAGAAAAAAGTGTGACGGACTACCCCCCCCCCACATCCACCCCTAATGACAACTGTGTGATGTATTTACTACTAGCTTTATAAATGTACTTCTTTAAAAGTTTGTTTTGAGAAAGATAAATTGAAATGAAACATGAAAACTTTGAAAAAAATGTTTTTAGAAAAGAGAAAAGGGAAAATATTTATTTTGATTGAAAGATATTTCAAATAAAAATTAAATAAAAAATAGGTATATAAAATAAAAATAATTTTTGGATATTTTAACAAAAAATAATTGTGATAATTAAATATATATTTTATGTATATTAAATTTTTATTTATTTAAAACTAAATTATAATTAAAATTATTTTCGTTTAATTTCTAAAAATTATCTAGAAATTATATAAATAAAAAGATTACAAATTTATTTATTTATAAATTAATAAAAAATTTTAACAAAAACAAAATTCTTTTTTTTAAATAATTAGGGTATATATTTAAATTCTCTCCTCTTTTTTAGTAATTTCCAGTTTTTGAGGAAAATTGAAAAATATTAAATGGAGCGGAATGATTTATTTTCTTTCTTGCCCAATCCCTAATAAATATTTAAAATAAATAAAAAGTTTTTAAGCATTAAAAGTGCCAATAAAAAATTTTTAAAAAGCTAATAAAAAAAGTAAAAAATAAAAAGTTAAAGAAGAAATAAACAATTTAAAAAGTAAAAACTTTTTAATAAAAAAAATTAATGTGGCAATTCTCGCTGACTGCGCCAGTTTTTAATTGATAAAAAAATAAATTTTAAATTAAAAATAAAAATAAGGAAGTCGTTTTGATTAAGAATAAAATAAAAAAATATAATAATTATTTAGCCAATATAAAATGTTTTTTAGAGAATCAAATTTAAAAAATAAAAATGTCTAAAGAAAAGTAATAAATAAAAATAATAAATTTATATTTATTTTTAATTGTCTTTTATTATTATTAAAATTTAAATATAATTAAAAACTTTACAGATATATATTTTATAGTATATTATCATGACAAAAATTTTTTTATTAAGCGTTAGCTTATTTCTTCTGTAAATTTTTCACCTTTTGGAAGGTGAAAGAAAAATAGAATGTCTGGGTATTTAAATTAGAGATTTTATGATATTTAATTTATTTTTAGTTCAAGACATATGGAGAAATACTCATTTTTATAATTTTTGTATTAAAATATAATTAATGTATTTAATTAATTTCTTTCAATATTTTATTTAAAATCTCCTTATTTTTTTGTCAACATTTATCTAAAAATTTTACTCAATTTCTTTTATTATTGAAAATAATTTAAAAAAAAGAAAATAAAAAAAACAATATCAGGCATAAATTTAATTGTTATAATTTATTTTGAATATTTTGTAAATTATTAAAGTTTAATTAAATATTTTTATCTGTTATTTAGCAACATTTCTTGTATTTTAAAAATTTCTTTTAAAATAAATGAATAAAATTAAAAATATTTTTGACTCTGATACATTTTTCTTTAAATTTCTAACAAAAAAATTTTTTGTGCAAAATATGTAAACTAATGGCTTTGTTTATTTGGTATTAAAATAAAGAAAGTCAAATTTAGTTATTGTAAACAAAATATGTATATTTGGCAATAAGTCTTCAAAATAAAAACCCAGAAAATTTTAAAAAAATAAAAAGTTTGGCCACAATTAAACCCAAATAGAATAAATTTTTCTGTTTATTTTATTTATTTTAAAACCAAATAATTAATTATTAATTCTTTTATATTTAACAAAAAATACAATATCTAAATTAGGGATTGTGTATTTATTGAGATTTTAAATAAATTAAATATTTATTCAAAGAAAGAATAAAAAAAAAAGAATAAATTTTTTTATCTATTTTTAGCCAATTTAATAATTTGTCTCTTAATATCCTTTTGTCTCGTTTGTATTTTGCTGTTAGCAGATTTTAGTTAAAAATATCCAACCATAACACTTTGTATGTATTCTTTTTAATTTTTTTGTTTAATATTTTTCCAACCGTTCAGAGAGCAAAGAATGAATCCCGAGGGATTGCGGGAATGGCAAAAAATTTTGAAAAAAGACATGTGAATAGTGAATGGAAGGGAGAGAAAGAGGAGGATTTGGCATAATGCCATTCAAGCGAAAAATGACAAAAAAAATGGTTGAGAGGAGAAAGAGGATGAAAAAAGAGAGAAGAAAAAGTGTTCGAAAGTGTTCGACTAAAACAAAAAAAAATAAATAAATGCATGGATGGATTTGGGTAGTTTTTAATGGTCTTCTATGTATGGTGGTTAATTTTAGATATATGGCATGTGAAAAAAGAATTTATATTTTTAATATCTAAAAAGGAAAAATTAAACAAAAAAAGAAGAATAAATAAATTATTTAGGGAGCATTTTTACCAAAAATAAATAAAAAAATTTTTTTAATTTAAAATTGTCAATTTCTAAAATTGGATAAAGTATATGGTAGGAATAAGTAATTGTTATTAGTCATTTTAAAACACTTGCAAAAAATATTTTAATTAACATTACTTTTCTGGATAAAAAGATAGTCATAGAAAAACTGAAAAAAATCTTCTCAACATTTATCTGATAGATCGATAGAGTTTTTTTGATAAAAAAACTCGAAAATAAATTGGTAAAGTATTCATTTTGTTCTTTTTCTAATTTGAATAGAAATTTAAATAATTTATTTTCAACATTAAAATTAAAAAAAATCAATTTAAAAATTGTATAAATTTAATTCTTTAATTATAAAATAGTATATAGAGACTTTATAAATAGGTATATTTTTAGGATTGTCAAATTTAACAATTAATAATATCTAAAAATTAATAATTAAATCCTTATTTACTGTACATACATACATACAATTATTTATTAGTTTTATTGTTATTTTGAAATTATTTTGGTTGACTGACCGTTAGAATAATTATTATTATTTAAAAAAAAGTAGGGAGAATTATTTTAATTGTTAAAAATAACACTACAAAATTTAACAAAAACGTAATTTTTGTATGAACAAATTATGTTCAAAAATACGGGAACAAATAATTATTTTAGAAATTGAAGACCAATTATAGGAAAAATAACAAAAACTTTTTTTATATTTTTAATAATATTTTTTATCAATTTTTTAAATTAACAATGTGAAATAAATAAGTTGGTTCTCCAAATAAAAAAAAATTTTTTTTCAGAATTTAGATCAGAGTCAGAGAGATATGTATTGCTGTCTAATACTTTTTTTGTCTAATACATAAATGAACTTTCTAAATTTTAAATTTCTTTCACTGTATTTTTTACTAATAAAATTACTGTAAAAATCCCATCCCCTATTTATAAAATTTCTGAATAATATGTATAAAAAAATTAATTTTCTTAACCTCGAATTAAAATATTTTTTTTATTTATGCAACAAAATGTCAATTAAAAAGGTGTTGCTGTCTAATACTTTTTAGAGCAGTGTATTAAAAGAAAAAAATATTTTTAAGTGAAAAGTGCATTTGTGCGCGAATTACTACCAAGTAATTCTCTCAATATGTTGTTCCTAAAATTGGTGAAAAGAAAAAAAAATTTAAGAAAAAAGAGAGGAAAGTGTGCATTCACGCAGTAATTTTATAGAGGCCGAAGAATTGTGAATTTTATTTTATATTTACATTACATATTGTATTTATTTACACACACACAAATATGCGGATGAACGAATTTTGAAGGAGCTCTTTTTCTCTCTTTTTTATAAATATATTGTGTTGAGGGGGTAATTCTACCTGTAAAAGAAAAAAGTGTTGAGTATTTACTTTTATTATTAATTGGCCTAACAAACGAAAACAAGCAAAAATATGTTGCGAAAATGAAAAAAAATAAAAAATTATATTTTTTATATTTTAATTTTGAATTATAAAAAATGAAGGTTTGCTGTAAATATCGGAAATAAAAGAGTGTACCGAATCGGGCATTAAAAAGTTGAGAACAAGAATTCAGCACAAGACCAATATTGAAAACCCCAAGAAAACTGCGGATCACAGAGATTATTATTAATTGGCCTAACAAACGAAAACAAGCATTATTATCATACTTAAAAGAGTTACGGAAGAATTTTGATAAAGTTGGCAACTTTTTTCTAATTTTTGGCTATTTCGTAAAAAGTCAAAGTCTAGTCAAAAGCCATTTCAGCTAGGGCTGGATTTTAGAAAATGCTAATCCGGCAAATTTTATACTAAGTTTGGAAAAATCAATTTTTGAAGGCAACAATGGGACAAGAAATGCGACGACATATAGGTATGTATAAAATCAAAAAGGCTGAACTAAGGAAAGCTAAAGTTAAATCTAAATGAACACTTAACCTAATTTAATCAAAAAAATCGACAGTTTTAAAAATTTATTTACACACAATAGCAATACAACTTCAAATATATAGGCAACAAAAAATTAAGTGAACATATACAAACAAATATACAGTCAAGAAAAATATCAACAGGTTTATCTAATTAGCATCTCGATTCATCTGGTTCTAAACACGTCTTTGTGTAGTCGAAGTAGGAAAGCTGTCTATTTGTTGTTCGCCTTCAGCTGGCACCTCTGGTTCCTCAGCAATTTCCCAGTCCATTTTTGCTTTCTTGTCGATTCCCTGTTCAGTGATTATCTGCAAAATGAATTAAGAAACTGATTATTTGACCGATAAATTACCCTCTCAAGCACCCTGGCCATCTCCTTGTAGGCAGGTGCATCCTCGAATTTGAGTTTGATGATGGGACCAATCAGCTCCCTGTAGCCTTGAGGGCAGCCGTTAAGGAAGTCGTCCAGGTTGCTGAGTGCTGCCAGTTTTGCGTTGTAGACTGCGGCCCGATCTAAAAATTTGAAGTTATTAGGATTTCGCGTTCAAATTATTAACGAATATTTTCTCACCTCTCTCTGCTGACCATGGGAGCGATCCCTTTGTCATCTCAACAATCATGTAGAACCAGCTCTCGACGTCATCCCTCCGCGCCAAGTCCTGGTGTTGATGAGCACTCCGCGAGCCATATCGAGTCGTCCCTCTCCATCCAACATCTTGTCTGGCGGCGATGATGTTGTTATTCTGAAAAAAGAAATTATTGAAAGGAAGAACTGCTGAGGCACACACCGCGTCCTTGTACCTCCGACACAGGCCGAAGTCAATCAGATAGATGTTGCGAATGTCGTCGCTTGTCGTTTGTCCTGTGACAAAGTTCCCTGCCTTGATATCCCTTGAAATGAAGCCGCATACTTCATGGAGTTCCCTGATGGCCTAAAAAATAAAAATACAAATTATTGCATTAAGAATTTTTTAAAGGCGAAATCTTGTACCTCAAGAGTGACAAGAGCAACACGCACAGCTGTCCCGAGTGTGAAACTGCCATTGTTCCGGTCCTTTCGCAGTCTGTACAGGTCGCGTCCCTTAAGCTCCATCGCAATGAATGAGCAGCCTCGACTCTGAATGACCCCCTAAAATTAAAATCAGTTAGATTGACCAAAATTAAAAACACGATATAACTTACATTGTCAAAAATCTTTGGAATGTGGCGGCAGTTCTTATCCTTTGCTGTTTCGAGCACGCGGGCCTCGATGTCGGTTGCTCCTGAACGTCGCTCCAGCTTGACCGCGAGTCGCTTTGTGTCCTGCTTTTTTCCCTTTGAGATGGCGTCTGCCTCATACACTTGTCCATAACCACCATCGCCAATCAGCTCCTCCAGCTTGTAGTTGTACCTCTCCGACTCGAAGATGAAGCCTGCGCGGACATTCAGATCGCCTTCCCTGGGACGGACTGACATTGCAACGAAGTTGTCGACGAGCAGAGCACTGAATGCGGAGAACGAACGGCACTGTTGGTTGTAAAATGGTCGACGAGCAGCAGGCACACTGTTGATTGTAGAGAAGGATGATGAGCGCTGTTGTGAAGAGAGTTGAGTGGTAACTATCACCGAAAATTTTATCCTTTTATACATATACTCGGGCGTGAAACCAGGCAACCGGATTGCTTCTCCTAATAACTAATACATATAAAAGACCTGAAAAATCGCTCACGTCTAAGACGCGGCGGTCACCACTTTCACAACAGACTTGCATCTTCAACATTGCGGACAAACGGTTGCGGACATGCGGAAACCAGGCATCCGGATGCGATAGTACCCACAGTAGTACCCAACTCATCCCTCCATTAAAGAGGAACGCTAACATGGCTGAAGACGCACGTTTCATCCTTTTACGTAATGCCGGTTTTTGGCATCGAGAGTGCATGCTCAAGTCTAGTGAAAAGGAATATAAAGCCTAAAAGTAGATATTTATTTGAATAAATAAGTGTCGAAGCTTTAATTTTTAAACTTCAAAAAAAATTTTTCCTCGAAATCGGTAAATGTCCAGTTGATTTCCTACACGTACGCAAAAGGAAATCTAACTTAAATCAGCAAAGTTATGCCCATTTGTTCTAATCCCTTGCAGCTACTAATCCCTCTTAACTGATCTTGATATCATTCGACCCATATTAAAGAGCTCTCTCTAATGCTATGATTCATGGAAGAAGGAAAAATAGGGGTGTCTATAATTTTTGAGTAAAAATATTGCTCAAATAAAAATAATTAAAAAATATATTTTTTAAAAACTATTGATTTAAACAGATTTTATATTTATAATTTTATTATATTTAGAAATTATTCATTCTTCTTTCGCTTTTGGTTGTATGGCCGTAAGAAGCGGGCACCAAAAGGCTTTGTCTGAATAATTAAAATTATAAAATATTTTTTACATATTTACTTTATTATGAAAATCTCAAATATTTTATACAAAAAATTAATTACCAAAAAATAACTTTCATCTACAAGAAGTGACAATCTCTCCGATTCCGCACTTAAAATTTTTAAAAATCTAATTTTGGAATAAAAACAAGGTTTACCGCATATTTGCAAGTTCTTCCTGACTATAATCTCTACTAATCTCACCAAGATTTTCGTCGTCAAGTTTGCCGTCTTCCTTCAATCTTGTACGTAAAGGTGGAGGAGGTGGACGAAGTTTTCGCTAAAAATTTGTATTTTTGATAAAAAAATAAAATAAAAATGTGTTACTATTTTCTTTGCTGGCAATTTATCAAATTGTACTTCGCTTTCAGATGTTTCGACAGAAGATTCCATTTTAACTAAATTTAAAATAAATAAAATTTTTGATAAACGTTGATTTTTTGGGTGAAATCACATTACAAATCTAACAGGATATCACAAAACTCGAGATTTGACAAATTTAAAGTTTTTCTTTTGTTCGAAATTTTTCTTGGCATAATGTTTTTTTAAATTTTAAAAATTCTTGAGGCTTTTCCTTTAAAGATTAATTTAATTTTTTAAGTTTTTTTATTTTCATGTTTATTATTTTTTACAAAAATTTAATTTAAGATTTTTATTAAATGAATGTCCATTGATTTGGATGTAGAAATGATTGTTCCACAACAAAGTGAGCAAAGCGTTCCTGAATTTAAGGTTTTTCTTAAACATTTTTTGATTTTTAAAATTTTTAAGGATGTTTCTGTTATTGTTAATCATTTTGTGAAAAATGGTGGGTTAATTAAAAGAGTTGAAGCTCTTGGAAGAGAAGCGGCAGTATTTAATGGGGCCGGAAATGAAATTGAAAATCGATATAAAACTGAATTTAATATTTTAAATGTAAGTTTTTTGAAAAAATTATTTAAAAATTTTTAGGCGTTTTTTGTAACTTTTACTCCGAAAACGCCAGAGGATTATCTTTGTTTGATTGGCAATGATCAAATTGATTTTTATTCACAAGACGCTAATTGTAGGATATGCTGTCCTATTTCATTGCCATTTAAGGTTTTTAATTTATATATTTTTTCTTTAATTTTTATTCACAGATTTGTCGTGCACATCCCTGCAGTTTTGGAATTATTCTTGAGAGAAGCTCATTTCCTGGAGAACACGGAAAGTAAATAAATATTTCTTTTAAAAATATCGAATATCTTTCAGTCTCCCAGGAGCTGCCCAACTTTTTTCTCTGACTCATCCTTACAATGAAATAATGCCAATTCTTTGCAAATTTAAAGGTATAATTTTCTTTGAAATTTCTCAATTTTTATATATTCAGGTGATTCTGATTGTCATTATACATTTCGCGGCAAAAGAATGGCTGTTATTCCTAAGGAAATTGCCGCAAACTGGTGTTCCTCGTTTTTCGGCCCCGTCGATTTGTTAATGTGTTACGATATTGATGAACGCAGAAATAATTTATTTTTAATACGTAAATGTACTAAAGAGGAAAGATTAGCAGCAAAGAATGATTTGGGTGTTTTGAATTCGTCAGCACTTATGCATACGCCGAGCACAGTTCGGTCATTTTATTCACCCAATTTTTTTAATCGAAGATTTGCTGGTAAAATTAAAATTTTTATTTATTTTTAAATATTAAAATTAATTTTAGAGGATCGCCTTGCATCAATCGGCCTTTTAAATCCACAAAAAAATAATATTGATACTCATTTACATCATTCACCTGCTAATTGTTTTAATTCTGTTTTGTTCGCTAACAGTAATGGATCTTCACACTTACATGCTGCATCTCAAACAAGTGCTTCTTTAACTTCATCTATTCCGAGCGTTGCCCCTTCTAAGGTTTGAAAATGATTTTTTAATGAAAATTTGAGTGTTCTATGGTATTTTTTGAAATTATTTTAAATTGGAAATGGGTTATAATCGAACAATAAAATTGTTTATATTTGTTAAATTCAGACGCCCATTTCAAGACGTATAACTCGCTCAATGGCTGCAGCAGCAGCTTCTGGTGAATTCTCCAATCCTAATTTCGGTATGGGAGCGCTCTCATCATTACCCTCTTCAGCGGCTGACAAATCAGGATCTTTTCATAGGTTTAAAGTTTTTTGATGTTTTTATATTTATTTCACTTTTAGATCTCTTGAACATAATGCAGCTTTAAATCGAATGCGTCTTAAACAAAAGTTTTCAATAACAACTGGGAACAATGTTGCTTCAAATGCTTATATTAATAATTCAACTCCAAGACATGCTCATTCATTCTCTGCTGTTGATATGGATGATTTATTGAGTTTTGGAGGTCGCGAAACTGACGCTGAACCGCCATCATCGTTAAATATGGCTGTAGAATTTTGCTTGGATTGGCTTTGGTCAGAACCGCTTCCGCCACCGGTATTGTGTTTAAAATATTTTATGAAATTGTAATTGAAAATAAATAGATTGACGATGCTGTTGCTAACCGGAGTGGTTCAACATCTTCAATTGGCACAGAGAAAGTCGCCCAAAAACTAGAGACGTTGAGAGTATCATCTTCAACAAGCTCTCAATCCGAAGAAGCTGCAAATAAAATAAATAATGGTTGTCTTTAAAAATTTCTTTTAAACTATCTTTGTTTTTTTAAATTTATGATTGAGTTTGAAATTTTACATATTTAATTTTAAGCAAATCGAATGGCTTCAACTTTTTTCATCAGTCGACAGGCACTTTCGCGTTCTGAACGTTGTATTGTTTTTCATATTACAAGCGATCGTCGTGTTGTAGTGTTGAACATTCACTTTCCTAAAGCATTGGAGGACTCCTCTTCAATATTGGTACCAGATCCAATAATTACAGAAAATGGTAGTCCATCAAGTTTTATTCGAGGTGATTCAGCTGTCCCTTTTTTGGTAAGCTAAATTACTTGAAATAATCTCTAAAACTACAATAGGTCAATTCTAATTTTGAAAATTCCTATGTGCTTCGAGATTTTTGGTTTTTTTACTTTGGTTTCTCACTTCTTTTACCCGGTATCACTGATATTAATTAGTATAAAGTTTGGTCCAGCATTGTTCAGTTAAGTTAACCGATTATGTAAAACCTCATTTAATACCTTTCGAGAGTCGGACTGTTGTACATTCAATCTATAATTATTTTAGCATGCTCCGTTTTTCATGGTTCTCGTAAATTTTTCATTTACTGATTCTCCCACCGCTTTTTCAATTGCATTATACACTGGTTGCACAAAAATTACCAATATCGCACTGAACTTTGGAATTTTACGTGCCATCACTAGCAATGCTTGTAGTAACCTGTTAAGATTGTTGCCTGGTGGACTCTGTGCAAATGGATACAATCAGTATGCGTTAAGGGTAAGAATTTTATTTCATATCCAAAATTTAGATATATGAATTTCAGGTTTTTGTCGAGCATGATAATTCTCATATTCAATCTCCTGTGGACGATGCTTTCAGGAACGCTTCATTCACACTCTTTTCTTTCAAATTCCAACTTGGTTTTAATACTAAGCTTGCGAACCGTTGTCTAATGACGATATGTAGCTGGATTGGAATTGCACGCCAACTTCAATTTCTTTCACGCCTTTTTTGTTCCAACCCATGGAAAATTACTAATGAGGCTCAGAAAATCCCATTTGTTGACGAATTACCAATTGAATGTATTGAGTTGGCTCTACTTTTTGAACATGTTTTTGAAGATTTTTCTTATGAACAAAAAGATATGCCTTTCCAAAAATTGGTGGGTAGAATACATATAAAATTTTATATTTCATTTTTTTAAGTTGGCGAGGATTCGATCAAATGGAGATGATGGGGGAGAGAGGGAAACTAAAAGAACACGACAAAATACCCAAAGTATTGAGGATATGCTAAATAATGACCAGGTGGTCTAAAACAAATTTATTTTTTTATTTAAATTTTCAGTATTGGCTAATGCTTAATGCCGATCGCCAAATTGCTACTGATTCGGCATCTCTTATGAATAATTTAAAAGGAATCAAATTTATGAATGAACGGCTCATGGAACGAATTCGTCGACTAATTAGAGATTCAAATCGTCCTCGTGTTACTAATTTTTCTTTTAATGACAGAAATAAGTAAATATATTTGGAATTGTTCATTTTGTTTATTTTCTTAATTTTTTCGGTTGACTGAGAAGATGATCAAGGAGGCTCACAAATGGATTTCTGCTCCAATTTGGACGAGTGATCTCCGTGTATATAATGTTCAACAAATGCTCGATTCCTCTCAACCCATTCTAATTCCGAGCAAGGAATTGGGAGTCTGTTTTTAACTCTATTGTTATAAAATAAATTTAATCTTTAAGCAAGCTTCTAGTGAAGTGCAACAACGTGAACAGCACGAACAATTCCTTTTGAGTGTTGCGATTAGAACGGTTGCTCGTCCCTTTGGAAAAGCTGCACTTAACTTTCACACTCGTCATGCATTTAAAGATGACGAATCATTTATAGAAAATAATTCAAAACAAAAGAATGAAAATATAAAGAAGAACAATTTTATAAATTCATCGGTTTCACAAATGGGTGCACGTCCAATTTGTTTGAATGGTCGTGTGCATCCTGGTTGGCATCAAGTTGATTTTCCTTTGAATGATACAAATCCGGTAATTATTTTTATGGGACAATCCATTAATATGAGGGGAAGGGATAACCATTAAATACTTTGTTCTTCTAATTTCTCATTTAGTCTCATAAATTGGCAATGGATTGGGCAAATTTTTACAATGGTTTAGCGCATGGTTTTTCATATTGTGGTGGTTTTCCATCGCGTATTTTTTCTTCAATGATTAAAGAAGAAGCAAATTCTGATCTTTTGACAACAATAAGAGCTGGTCTTCTTTTAGCTGCTGGATTATCTGGTTGTATTAAGGATTCGATGAATCTTTATGACATTCATGCTTTACTTACTCAAAATGATAAATATTTGATTATTGCATTGTTGATTGGTTGTGCCGCAGCTCATCGGGGGACTAGCGAAGTCCATGTTAGTTTTTTTAAATTTTTAATAGAATATAGTTATATTTTTATTTTAAGGTTTATAAGATGATATCAGCTCATTTACCTTTTTTATTACAACCAACATTAGTTGAATTCAAAATCGAATTAAGCATTCAATCAGCAGCCATAGTTTCATTGGGATTGCTCTTTGCGGAAACAGCAAATCACAATATTTCTAGCCAGTATAAATTTTAAAATTATTATTTGTAGAACTATTTGGGGATATTAATTTATCAGACATTTGAAAATTTTATTTTATTTAGACTTTTAAATCAAATCTCTCTTGAAGTTCCGTGTGAGAGTGATCAGGCTTTTGAGCGGTATTCTTTTGTTTTAACTGCAGGCATGGCTATTGGATTAATTAATTTAGGTTATTTATTTTTAATTTTTTCATATATAAATTATGCTTCAGGTAAAGGAAAGGAGATTACTGATACTGAAATTCCAATTTCATCAACGCCTTCACTGAAAGAACGTCTCATCAAGCTTCTCAATGGTGGTGAACGTCGCTTGGCTTATTTAAGTTATGATCGTGTTGAATGTCCAGGAATGCGTATTGGAAATTTTGCGAGTAGCGGTGGTGGAGGGTCTAATTTAATTTATTCACTGAGGAGATATACTCCTGGAGGAAGTGCCATGGATGGTTTAGGTGCTGGTATGTGTATAATTAATTATGATCTATGTAAAATTGTATTCTTTGCTTCTATGCTAGTTTACATCAAGTTTTCCTAATAGTCTTAAAATTTGTGCAATTAAATAGGGATTTGTCGTTATGACGTCATTTTAAATTTTAAGTTAATGCTACGGGGAATAATGCCGGTGGTTCTTCAACAAACACCGCTACTGCTCAACAACAACATCAAAATTCAAGTTCCTCACGTGATTATTCTGGAATAGGTCAGCCAATGTCTAATCATGTGCGTGAATTGCCAACATTAAACATACATTTAACTTCTCCGGCGGCGGCAGTTGCTCTTGGTTTAATGTATTTAAGAACTAGAGATGAATGGATATACGAGGCACTTTCTGTCAAAGATTCTTTCTATGAAATCGATAAAATTCGGTAAATATAGTTAAATTTTTGATTAAATTTTTTCATGGTATACACAGAATCTTTAAACAAATTTTTTAGTCCTGACATGCTTATGATTCGCACATTTTGCCGTTGTCTAGTCAAATTTGATGATATTCAGGCAACAAAGCAATGGACTGAAAAGCAGATTCCTGAAATTGTACGAAGATATTCGCAACATTTTGTCGAGGCACAAACACTTAAGGATATTTGGTGGGAGGAGTTTATTGATGTTGAGACAATATCTAAAGTACGGGAAAATTTCTTTAATAAAATTATTTCCTTTTTAGGTCCATTTTTATTGTACTGCTGGAGCTTTATTGGCTTTATCACTCCGATTTGCTTCTAGTTGTCAGAAGGACGCTCTTTCTTTAATTGTGAATTTTATTAGTTTAAAAAATTACAAATTTAATTAAAAAATTAAATTATTTCTAAAATTTCCTTAGCATCAATTATACGAGCGAATTTCGTTAACCGACCATAATCGAAAGAAAGTAGATGAACTCAGCTGGTCAGGATTTGCCTTACGAGCGGGTCGAAATTGTCTTCGAACATGCACAAATGTTTGTGCACTTGCCATGGGATTAGTAGGATTTTTTTATTTTTAAAATTTTTAATTTTTTATTTAAGTTAATGGCGGGAAGTGGTGATTTGCAAACTACGAGAATTTTACGCAAAATTAGAAATATTCTTCCATCATTTGAAGATACAAATATAAAAAACAAAACTTCGGCAAATTGTATTCCTCCAAAAGATAGTTCTGTTCATAGTTTACATGTTAGTACAAATATGGCTTTAGGATTATTATATTTTGGTTATGGAAGGTAAAAAGAAAAAGATTTAAATAAAAATGTATTTATTTTTAAGATATCGTCTATCAGATTCTAATTTGTCTATAGCAGCACTCGTTCTTTCATTATTCCCTTTATTTCCACATTCAATTACTGATAATCGTTTTTATTTTCAACCTCTCCGATTTTTATGGATTTTAGCTGCACAAAAGAATTCCCAACCAAAATGTTTAAGAAAATTGAGTAAAAGAAGAAAAATTAGAAGAATACTAATAAATGAAGAAGAAAAAGATTTTGAAGGTGAAGATGAACAAGAAATGATAACTGTTGAATGCCCAAGATGTGGACGTATTGAAATAACAAAAAATGAAAGATTCTCCTCATTGTGATTTCTCATTATTTTCACTTTTTTAAGCCTTATGTGAGCATGTATTATTTTAGAAAATTTTTAGTTTATGAAAAGGCGTATTTTTGTAAATGATGTTTTTGGGTGATTGGAAAGGATGTGCTTTTTTACTTTTTAATCCACAAAATTATGAACTAAATGAGTTGAGGGTTACAATGATGGCAGTTCAGATTTAATAAAATTTTATAATTTAGAAAAGTTGAAATATACAATTCATTTAAATAAAGGTGTTTAATTTGTAAAAATATCAAAAATGTAAAAATTAATAGCTTTAGTTACTTTAAAAATCCAAAAATCGGATATCATTTTTAAATTCGCTCCACTCCTTTTCAATTATAAAATCTCTTCTGCAAAAAATTATTTTTAAATAAAATATTTTAAAAAAACCTACTCTCAACATATCGGATATCATTTTTCTCTTCTAATAATAGTAAGAACCCCAAGACAAAATTATCAAAAGTAAAGTGAAGAGTGGTAATAATATCAAAGTGCAGGAAAGGAAGGAAAGTGCACGTCGACGTCGTAAATATTCCTCTCCGTAAGGATCGGGTGCAAAGAGAAAAACAGGAGTAGCTATTTTTGATTCTTAAAAATATAACGATATTTTAATTTTTCTTTCCTAACCTCCTTGACTAATTATAATTGCTGGACCTCCAACATTTCCATCGATGTAATATGTAGCTTTAGGTGTATAAACACCTCCCCCTTGTGTTCCCGCAAAGCATGAAGTTGGTAATTGTCCCGTAGGTTGTGATAATGGTGGGTAAACAGATGTGTAATTTGGAGGTGGTGAGTGTTGTTTGGGTTGTTGCTCGGATGGTAATGGACTGGGAGGAACTGTGAATTTTTAAAAACAAATAAAGTATTAGATAGAATTCTTGGAATTCTTTGAATTACTTTAAATTGTCTTTGAGTGTGAAATGAAAATTAAAAAAAATAATCATTAGTGACCTCCAGTTCCAGCGTTAGGAGCGATTGGAAGCATTGGAAGTTCATTTGGCTTGTTAGACTGTTGAACGGATTTCTCTTGTTTTTCTTCAATATTAGTTTCCAAAGGAGTAGCCGAGTTAACTATTATTTTTTAGTAAATATAATTTATATTTTTTAAAATCATTAACCGATATCAACTTGACGAGGCGGTTTAGGTGGTTGTTGATGTTGGTATTGTTGTTGAGTTTCCCCAATTTCCTTATTTTCTTCTTTTACCATTAATTCACTTCTTGCTTCAACAAAAGTATCGTCTCCACTACTTTCCTCAATTTCAATACCAGAAACAAGCGAATAAAATGCAGGGGATTGAGGATTAATTAATGCTGCTGGTAATGGTGGTGTTGAGCTTGGAGTAACGGGAGAAATTGAACCAGAAGAGACCGACGATTTTGGACTTTTTCTTTAATTTAAATATTTTTTTTTGTAAATAAATAGGGAAATACTTGGGGATTGTTTGTGCATTTTGTTGTTCATTTACAGGTTCAGAAGAAGTGTTAATTGTTTTGTCTGTTTTGGGTTGTTCTGTTATATTCTCATTTAAATTAATTTCATCAAAATTACTTTTTGAAGATGACATTTTTGTTTTTAAAATTTAATTGTTTACAACCTAATTTTTAAAATAATTTATTTTTAAATTTCTAAATAATTTTAAAATTATTTTTGAAATTTAGACGGCTAGAGTGAAAGGGGAAATGTTTAGATGGCATTAAATGATTGAATAAATTGATGTAAAATTGAAAAGTCGATAATTAGACTATTTCATTTAGAAAGTCAATAAAAATATTTTAATTTTTAAAATTATTAAAGAAATATTTTTAATTAATTTTTGAAAAGAAGTTATATTAAAATATAATACATAAATAAAAAAAGAATTTTAAATTTGTTTTTGTTGGAGAAATTAAAATTAGAGGGAAAATATATTAGTATTTATTTAATGTTTTAAGTAAATATGTATGTAAATAAAGTTTTGTGTAGAATACAAGATTTGCTTAAGGAGCAATTTCTGTGATGTTTAGAGGATATTTGGGTGTTGAATGAATTAATTAAAAAATTTTAATTAATTAATTTTTTACTCAATTTTCAATAAAATCCATAAAATGTGAAAGAGAGAGAAAAGTAAAAATGGTTTTCATATTAAATGGCTTTATTTTAAATTAATTTTACATATTCAAAAATTTTTTTCTAAACAAACAAAATACAAAAAATATTTCCAAACTCTTTCCCTCACTCTCTCAATTTCAATTAATTTTTTAAAACCATTCAATAATTTTGTTTTTGTTGTTGGCAAAAACGTTTAAATATTTATGGAAAAAAATAAAATAAATGACTCATTGGAAATTTTAAATAAAATAAAAATATATTTATGGAAGAAATAACTAAGTGAATATATTTTAACAAACTTGAATTTATTTTAAAATTTTACAAAATCTGAAATAATTAATTTTTCAAAGTTTTTTTGAATGAAATTAATAGAGAAGACTGGATCTTTATACAAATACTTTTGCAAACTTGTCTTGGACTATAATTTATATAATAATTAAATTTAGGTAATTTAGAAGGTGATTAAACTCTTTGTTAATAAAATTTAAAAGAAAATTAATTTAAAGAAGAACTTTTAAAGTTTTTGAGTAAATGAGGAAAAAGAGAGGAGTATTTTTGTGGTAAATCCTAAAAATAAATTTAAAAACCCCAATTATTTTCTAACTATACACTCCTCCACAAAAGTATAAGGGCACTTGTATTTTCGCAATTTTTTTACTTCCAATGATCCAAATTTTCTGAAAATTTAGATATACACCTTTTAGTGAATAACTAATAAGATGTGCATCGATTTTTGGCTGATTTTTTATTTTAAAAATTTTTAGACAAAAATTTGCATTTTCGGCCTCCACAAAAGTATAGGGGCACTTACAAAAAAGATATTTCCAAGATTAGAAAAAATCTACAAAAATTCTAGCAAACATACATAATTATATTATGAAAAAATAAAAAAGAACTAGACCCATATCTTCACCCGGAGCCGAGATCCTGAGACCCCGAAAATCAACGTAAATCAGGGGTAAGGCTCTTTAAAAAAATTTTTCGACCCCTTATGGATTGTTTTGAATTTTGATTTTGGGCTCATTCGAAAGCCCTTGAAATTTGCTACAAGATAGCAAAAGTTTTATTTTTTAGAAAAATTATCTCAATAAGTTCCTAAGGTTTAAATTTCTAAGGCACAAAAAACGCCCTAATGCCCCATAAAATTAGCTGCGGAAGATTAACATCCTGCATATCTCTATTGAATTGATTCTGAGATATAAGAGTATTATTATCTTGTAGCAAATTTCAAGGGCTTTCGAATGAGCCCAAAATCAAAATTCAAAACAATCCATAAGGGGTCGAAAAATTTTTTTAAAGAGCCTTACCCCTGATTTACGTTGATTTTCGGGGTCTCAGGATCTCGGCTCCGGGTGAAGATATGGGTCTAGTTCTTTTTTATTTTTTCATAATATAATTATGTATGTTTGCTAGAATTTTTGTAGATTTTTTCTAATCTTGGAAATATCTTTTTTGTGAGTGCCCCTATACTTTTGTGGAGGCCGAAAATGCAAATTTTTGTCTAAAAATTTTTAAAATAAAAAATCAGCCAAAAAACGATGCACATCTTATTAGTTATTCACTAAAAGGTGTATATCTAAATTTTCAGAAAATTTGGATCATTGGAAGTAAAAAAATTGCGAAAATACAAGTGCCCTTATACTTTTGTGGAGGAGTGTATTTATTCTAAATTTTAAAAATAAATTTAAAAATATTTAAAAATATTTATTTATTTTACACGATCCTTCAACCCAAATTTTAAAAAAACTACAAATTAATTAACTACAATTATTTAGTAAATGGGGAGAATCACAATATTTCTTTTTTTTTCTCTTTTCATCATTGGGGGAGAGGGAGAGAAGTTAAAGTCGACGACATTCTTTTGGTTCCAAAACTTTTTCAACAATACTGTGTTGTTTATAATTATTTAATTCCAATTGTTGATTATTTCCAATTAATTGTCTGTATTGATTTAATAAATTCCGAGCTTCAGAATCAGAACGAGGCATACAAATAAATGGAATATTTTTTGTTGTAAAATGTTTAGAATTGTTTTCTTCTTCTTCTTCAAATTCCCTCCAACCAGTTGGATAAGTACCCATTGGGCATTGTTTAATTGGTTGTTTTGAAAAACAAATTTCATTTTCCATTTCCATTATTTTTGTTCTCAAAATTGGTACTAAAAAATAAATAAAATATTCAAATTTAAATTTAAATATTTACATAATCCTTTCCTTCTTTTTAAATTTTTATTTCCAGATTTTGTTGTTGCCAATTGGTTTTTCTGTTGATTATTATTATTTTCTTTCCCCTTTCCTTCTTCTTCATTTTCTCCATACCATTCTTCATTATTATAAAAATATTTACTATTTTCTTCATCAAAATTTCCATTAAATCCTTCCTCATCCCAATTTTGATTTAATTTATTATTTTCTTCTTTTCTTTCCTCCTCCTCCTCCTCCTCTCTTTCTTCTTCTTTATTTTCCTCCATTTCATTTAAATATCCAAATTTATTTGAATTTTCTTCATAAAATTTATCAATTTCTTGTGCATTACACAATTTATCATCATTGTCATAGCTATTTGAAAGTGAATAAGAACGATGGAATTGTGTCAGAGATGGAGCTAAAAAAGAAGTAATTTTTGTTTTAATCTTCCCTTTTCCCTCCCCTTCCTCTTTCCCTCACCCTTCCCTTCCTTCCCACTTCCCCCTTCCCTTTCCCCTTCCTCTTCCCTTCCTCATTCCCTCTCTGTCCCATTTCCATCCCCTTCCCTCTTCCCCTTCCCTTCCCTTCCCTTCCCTTCCCTTCCCTTCCCTTCCCTTCCCTTCCCTTCCCTTCCCTTCCCTTCCCTTCCCTTCCCACTCCCCTTCATTACCAATTTCATTATTAGCCATTAACAATTCATTTTCATCATTACTAGCATCATCATAATGTCCACAAAGTCCACATTGAGTATTTTTATAATCACTAGATATTTTAATCCAAACTTTGTATCCATTAAAACGAACAGCCAATTTATCCCAATTAATTATTAAATCATTCTTTTGGTTATTATTATATTGAATTAATTGTTGTTGTTGTTGTTGATTATTTTCTTCTTCTTTTCCATTAATTTTACATTTAATTGGGGAATTGTGATTATTATTTGGTGTTTCTCTTTGACATTCAACAGACATTTGAGGGGAAAGTAATTTTAATTTCTTTTGACTATATTTATTTCCTCTTTCAATAGCTTTCATTAAAACAACAAATCGAGGAACTCCCCCCATAGCCCCACAATCTTTTGCCAAAACTGAATAACAATTTGTTGAAAGAGGTGAACGATATTCTCTTTCATCTAAAATTTAATTTTTTTTGAAAGTTTTTTTTGGAAATCTAACCAAAAGTCTCAACAGTTTGTCCATCAACAGAACATTCAGCTCTACTTTCCACTTCCTGTCGAGTTAAAAACTGGTCGAATGATTGAATGTTTTGATGAACATTTTGTTGTCTCAACAAAGGGAAAGGGCGCATTTGAATTGGTAATTCAATTTGTTGGAAACGAATTAATTGTTCGGGGGTTTTGACTGTCATATTGGCATGTTTTTGAGTAATTGGGTCAATTACAATATTTAAATATGTCTACAAAAATTGAAAATATGAAAAGAATATTGGATTGAAATTACCCCCACTCGATTAATTACCCTCCCTCCAACGAGAATTCAGAGTAATTATTCAAAAAAGGTATGGAATATTTTCTCTCATTATGGATAAAAATATCCCTCATATTTTTCTATCCCCCTTTTTCCCAATTTTTACCTCTCCATTTGCCGGATTTCTTCCTCTGCTTGAATCAATTAATTGTGATTTTGTATTCCAAAAATATTTAGATTTAACCAATTCCAAAACTCTTTCAAAAACATTTCTTGTTGTTGGCTTTAAATTTGTATATTTTGCTTCACAATTAAATTTATTAATAAAAGCAGTTCTTCTTTTTAATTTTTTATTTTCCATTCTTTGTCCTTCCATTCTTCTTGATTGTTCTCCATTAATTCTAACATTAATTGTTTGTTTAGATCTATCATCATCATTTCCCCAATAACAATTTGCTTTACAAGAATATAAATTATTTTTTAATTTATTTTCTTCTTCTTCTTCATTAAATTCTTCATTATTTTCAACATTTTCAGGCATAACCATTTCTGCTGAAGCTTTTAATGTCCATTTTTGTTGTTCATTATTTATTGGACTTCTTTCTGCTAAAATTTCTAATTGACATGTTTGCATCATTTCTTCACATTTTGCTTCTAATTTTGTTTGGAATTTAAATTCTTTTAAACCTCCAACAGTTTGTGCAGACATTTCTAAATTATGTTTATAATATTTTTGTTGTTTTGAATAATTTGTTAAGAATTTTGACATTTTTTGTTGTCTTTTGTTGTTTTCTTCTTCTTCATAATTATTATTTCCTTCTCCTTCTTCTCCTTCTTCGTTTTCAATATTTTTAAATTTATTTAAATAAAAAT